TAGATAAGGATTTGATGATAATTGATGATTGTTTAATGAGAGGAAATAGAGTAGTTGTACCCAGAAAATTGAGAGAAAAAGTTTAAATATGCTACATGAGGGTCATCAAGGAATAGCGAAAATGAAACAATGGGGAAGAGAGTGTGTATGGTGGCCTGGGATGAATAAATAAATTAATAATTTAGGTAAAAGTTTCGTAATGCCTGGTCTAATGTGCCCAGGAAAGAAAAAGGTTATAGTTGGCCAAAATGTGGGAGAGGGTTCATTTAGATTTTTTCGAATGGGAAGGGGAAAAATTTATTTTGAGTGTGGATGCATTTTCTAAGTAGATTGAATTTGAAGAAGTGTGTGGTTTGACCACGAGAATAGTTATAAAACATTGCAAGAAAATTTTTTCGAAAAAAAGTTGGTTAAAGAAACATAAGGAAGGGAAAGCTGAGTTGTGGGTAGCGCAGTTATATTATAATAGTGCAGTGGGAAAAGATGGTAAATCACCTGCGGAAAAAATGATAGGAAGAAAAATTAATATTTTCTTAGATATGTTGAAACCTTTGGATAGGGATGTTGAAATTGAAGATAATGTTATTTTGGAATATGTGATTAATCAATTAGTATGGGTTAGGATGTATGGAATAACTAGAAAATGGAAGAAAGGAGTGATTATAGGTAATGTGGGAAATAAAATATTTAAGGTTAGATTGGAGGATAATAGTGAGGTAACTAGACATCGAGATAAATTGAAATCGAGATCAGCTAAAAACAAGGATATAATTGAGTATTAAAATTTAAAAGAAATATATATATATATGGGTTGATAATAAATGCTTGTTATCTGGAGGAATTATGGAATAATATATTCTAAAACTATTTATGGGGTAAAACGGTTATGGATCGCTTAGTCCAATTGTAAATTGTTAGATAAATTGGATCGCTTACTCCAAGTAAAATGCTTGTTATATGAAAGAATTGTAGAATAATATATTATGAAATTATTTATGGGGTAAAATGGTTATGGATTGATTAGTTCAATTATAAAATGCTAGATGAGTTGTAAATTAGAAATTTAAATTTTAATATTGCAAAATTTGATTGTTATTGTTAATAAGAAAATTGTAAAAATTAGATGCAGACGTGCAGTTGTTTTACGTTTTTTAAAAAATGTTATATTAATGTATAATATGTAGGTCAAATTATATTTTGTTATTTATAGTTCGTAAAAGAAAGTTGGAAAATAAAATGTTTATAGGAGTTGGGAAATAAGTTTGTTAATATAAAGTTGTTTGTTATAATAAATAGTTAATTATTAAAGAATTAAAAAGTAAAATAAGATTATAAAAATTGTAAGTGGTATTGAGAAGAGAAGAAACGTTAATTGCGAAAAACAACTGGTAGTGAAATAGAGAAATCATTGGAAATATAAGGGTAAGAGAATAAAAATAATAAAATGAAAATAATAAGGTTATTGTTTGGTGTAATGGTTCATTATGTTAAAAAAAGGGTATTGTGAATATGTTGTTAATGCGATTAGAGTGGAATAGAGAAATCATTGGAAATATAAGGGTAAGAGAATAAAAAAATAATAAAATGAAAATAATAAGGTTGTTGTTTTGTGTAATGGTTCCTTATGTAAAAAGAAAAAGGGGTATTATGAATATGTTGTTAAAGATATTAAGAAAAAAATTTGACTTGCTTACTGTGTGTAATATCCTGTGTAATCAACTCAATAAATTTGATGCAATAGATCTGACTTACTTACTTTGTGTAATATTCTGTGTAATCAACTCAATAAATTACAATGATGCTCACTCAATAAATTACAATGATGCTCACTCAATAAATTACAATGATGCAATAGATCTATGATACATTAACCATAATTTAATGATAATCAGCAATGCTGGATAATGATACCAAGCTTAAAATAGAATGATCATGACTGACCAATGATGTAATGGATAAATCAAGCTATGAGTCATTAATCAGGATAGTTTTTGATAACAACCAAAACAATCGTTTAATCAAATATCAAATCGTCGTATACGTCAGAAATGAACGATACAATAATATCAAGAAAATATCAACGATATGAAGTTTCGCATTCGATATAAGAAAATATCAACTATATAAAGTTTCGCTCAACGTCGATATCAAGAGAATTTCAATGATGCGAAGTTTTGTCAAAAGAATCTTAAAAAATATATTCTTAAATTATAGTTACGGTTATGGCATGTAGTACTTGAAAAAGGGGTACATGTTGTATTATAATAAATATTTATTTATTATATAAAAAATAATTGATAAAAAAATAATATTAAAAAAGAAATATATTATATTTTGTAAAAATCGGTGTTTATTGATTATTCTTTTTTGTTGTAAAATCGTGAAAAATATATATAATAAAGAAAAATAAAGGAGTGTTACAAATATTTTGTATTTGACTCTAAGAAAATCCAAGAATAAAAAAGTATATAAAATAAGGTTAGAACAGTTAACAATATCTATTTTTACCCATTTGCCTTAAAAAAATTCAAAAAAGTTTAAAAATAACGATTATGACAATTGTCACTTTCTCGTAGTACATCATCACTGAAATTTTTTTACCCATTTGCCTTAAAAAAATTCAAAAAAGTTAAAAATTAACGATTATGACAATTGTCACTTTCCTGTGGTACATCTTCACTGAAATTTTAATTTAACATGTTAACAATTTCTATTTTTACCCATTTGCCTTAAAAAAATTCAAAAAGGTTCAATAATAACGATTATGACAAATGTCACTTTCCTGTAGTACATCTTCAATGAAATTTTTTAATATGTTAACAAACAATATCTATTTTTACCCATTTGCTTTAAAAAAATTCAAAAAAGTTTAAAAATAACGATTATGAATTGTCACTTTTCTATGGTACATCTTCATTTAAATTTTGTTTTTACATCTACTTTTACCTATTTGTGACACAATAAATCAGATTAGTTAAAAAATAACGATTGTGACAATTGTCACTTTTCTGTGTTACATTACATCTTCATTAAAATTTTAATATAAATTTTTTTTTAATATAAATTTTTACCCATATATGTCAAAAAAAGTTTAAAAAAAATAACGATTATGAAAATTGTCGGTACATCTTTATTGAATTTTTTTTTAATTTTAATTTAACATGTTAATGTTGTATTATCGATACAGCAAATTTACACACTGCCCTGACAAAAAATGCATAATTTCACTTTTACAATGTAAATCACTAATATAATTGAATTTTCAAAAATCAACAATAACTTCAAAATATAATTTGACAGTAACCGGAACTTAATGTTTTTAATTTAAAAAAGCGCTATCCACATAATAATTTTCCATTTTTTAAAAAAAAAATCCATTAATTTTTATTAGTCAAACTAAACTATACAAATTAATATTTATATTTGTAAACAAGTGAACGCTGTCTTCTTCTAAAGCAAAATTCTCAATTATAAAATTGAACTAATTTTTTAAATAATTTTTTTTAAAAATAATAACCGAGTTTAAGGAAAGTTTTTAATTGGATGAAATATAAAAAAATTAACAAGAAAGTAGGATTATAAAGGTTAGAAAGATATAGGCTATGGGTATTAAAGAGGGTATTTAATAAAATTTAATCATTTTTGATTAAAAATAATTTCCTTGAGTTGGACCATAATCGTTATTTTTATTTCAATCAAAATTATTTTATAGATTTCGATAATTTTTTTGACTACACTCCATTTCTGCTTTTGTTAGATACAAAAACCCTCGTGAGAAGTTTCCCAATAATTTTTTTTCGAGTATCGATAGCTAAAATATGCTATTTAATTATTAATTATTTAATTTAAGAAAATGTAATATGTATCTGGGTATATTTTATGTTATTTATATTTTAAATTTACCTAAGGTAATTTATTTTTTATAATTTATAAATTCGATATCGGCATCTCGGTTTCAGTATTTTTTACTCATAACAAGAAAAAATAATTTTAAATATAATTTAGAAAGTAACTACTGAATTAGATATAGAGTATGTCACATTTTTGAGAGTCGTGACATTACTACTAATTAGTGCCCTGCATCTGGTCTTTATTTTTGAAATCCGATCCTAGAAATAATTTTAAAAACTTTGTCCAAACTATTCAATCCTATTATATTTTTTAGCATAGATCAGCTCCAATTCAATTTTATATATTGGACTGTGCCAAAAAAAAGGTAGAATGTTTCAATTGATAATATTTTTTTATAAGGGCTGAAGGAAAACTGAATTTTTGGTTGCTATTCTTGAAAACTTATTAAAAAAAAAATCCAAAAATTTAAAATTTATCGAGGCCCAAGTCTGGCCGCACCCAGATTAAAGCTGGAATCATAGTGGAAACCTATTCAACATTATTTAACAGCTGATCGATTTTAAAAATCTGTTTATGAAATGAATTTTTTTTTATTAAAATAAATAATTTCTAGATTAATATCAAGGTGGAAGGAATTAAAGGAAAAATTAATATTAATAGTCAGCTGTTAAATCGTCTTGGATCAAATTCCGCTATGTATCCAGCCTAAAATGTTAAAAGGTCCTATCCAACTGACTCCAAAAAAATGTCATTCCGAGTCCCCCTGTCAGTGCAGAGCTTTATTAGTTATACCCCATTTTAATAACAAACAACTTTTTAAAATGGCTTTAACAATATTGACTATATATTCCTGATAGCATAAATAATAAATCTGCCTTTTTAATACTTTTTAAGCAATTCATTTACCATCATAAAATATAGATACAACTAATTCCTGATATTCTCATAACATATAATTACATAGAAAAATATTTATCTCTCGATTGCTGCCAACCTTTTAAATTGTATATAATATCAAAGAGTAGTTTATATAATTCAACTAATTTAAAATAATTAATCCTCGCATAATGTTAAAATCTAACTGTTATCACATTTATAAACACTAACATATAGTATTAAGAATATTAGGAAATTTAATCCATGTTGCTTTAATTATGATATTTTCTACAATAACAATACTTTTTAATTTCTGACCCGTTTACGCAGTAAGATTGATCCCAGTACCCATCCAAGCGAGAAATGTCTGCTACACGGCTGAATATATTTGAAATATTATACATATCAAAATCTAATGTAGCCTCGAATATTCCTTGGAAGGGTTTAGTTATTAATATTATTATGACACTTTTAAAGGTTTTTATCACTTTGGATATGTAGGAATTTAATCCTTTATTGACCCCTTTGCTCAGTTTGTTCAAGTAATTTCTTATCTCGTTAGCATTATAACCTTGCAACTCTTCTAAATTTGTTTTATTCGCCTTCGATATCAATATAACTTTCTTTATTGTGCTCAATCTAAATTCCTCAAAAATGCATTCATTTTTATAGGGCAGGAGTATATCGTTCTTGATCTTTGAAACTATTAAGTCAGCTCCAAGGTTCAGAATTTTCTGAAATTTTCCGCTAATATTGCCCGTCAAATGTTTTGGATAATTTAAATAGGAGGTTGAAGTAATAGGTGCTAGCCAATTGCATGGGCAATAATAACTAGGCACGTGGGCCGAATCACAATCCCTATCATAAGGGACCATTCTTAAGAGGCTTAGTCCCTTCTTACCGCTATTCTTTAAGCTTTGATTCCCAATCGTGTTTTTAAGTTTAAGGGGGGTTTTTTCTTTGATAATCAGGTGAAGATCCAGCAAATGGAGCAATGTTTCGTGTATATCAAAAGCGGTTACCACTCGTTTGGTATTCATCGAAAAAATAGATTCTTCGATGCCATAATCGTTAAAAAAGTTGTCCGGAGGAATGATTAACAGGAACGGCATGCGATCTTCCAATATTCCTTGGTTTTATTGTTAAAGTAAACATAAAATTTCTTTATTTTTTATTTTTGCACTATATCTTAAAATTAATGCTAAACATTAAAATTAAAAACAAGAAAATCTGTTTTTAATATCGAAATCCAATTTTGCCCTTTACAGTAATAAAATTCAATCTTCCTAAATATTTAAAAATTTTAAAGTAAATAAGTCTACTTTAAAGCTCATTGCAAACTTTTATAAAAAAATAACTCTTTTCAAAATTATTAAAATTTTAAGAGTAGTTCTTTGTAAAGTGACTCTTAAACCCTGTATTGCATATCTCATTCCGCGTTCGACAAATTATATAATAAATATCTTATAAATAAATTTTGGATCAATTGCATGGTATCTAATTGAAGCAACGATCTATATTTTTGATTCAGATGTTAATTTAAGCCACGTGATCTATTATATATTTTTAATTTGGCTTTTTATTACAACCTATTTTTAAAAATGGCTATTTGTATTAAAAAAAATTTCCAAATTACTGCCATCAAAATATAAAGATATTTGACAAATTAAAACATTAAAATTAGATAAATAAAAGGAAAAGCATGGGTTAAAGGTTAACAAGGATAAACTGAGTATATCATCGACATAAATAGATGTCAGATATCGGCAATTGATATCTGTAAATATTTGGGCACTTTATAAAATAATGACGCAATCGAAAGAGAAATAAAAAAAAATAAAATGAATCAAGGAAGCTAAGGTAGACAAATTTATAGAATCTTCGCAAATTAAAGTGTAAAAGGAAAATATAAAGGGAAACTAAGTATCCTATATAGTTTGGAAGATGGTCGAGCAATCAATCAGACGAGTGAAGTTTACAGACATGAGAGTGCGGTTTTTGATAGCAAGGATATCAAAAATGATAAGATAGGAAATACAAATATACTAGATAGTTTAAAGGTAGTACCCTTTAAAATAAAGATCATGGTGAATAGACTTGTATGAAATTACGACGAGAAGGCCTAATAGGAAATAAGGTTAAAAGTATAGAAGTGGTAGGTAAAAGAAAGAGAAAAACCCCAAACTCCGAAGGACACATAGTTAAAGCCAATATCACATAATATATGTGGGTTTAAAGACCCAATATTCAATTAAAAATTTCTAATAATTTTATATTCTTATAATGTGGGCAGTCAGATCTAAAGATAGCGAAAATTCTAATTTAAGTGACAGCTCATTTTAATAGCCGGAAAAATATAGACTAAACCTCGAGATTTCGCTAATATATGCCCAAACCTTTGTGTCGTCTATGAGTAAAATCATTAGGCTTGCGTAATATTATTCTGAATAAATTATTGAATTAGTCGTTTTTTAAAATAGATTCAAATCAAGCCGTTTAACAACACTAGTAACAAATCAATTTGGATTATTTTTTGATAACAGAGAGGAATGATTTGCGCTACCACCGTCAAGCAATGATTTACAATTATCAACTTCCCAACAGATAAGTTGAAAAAGTGGCGAGGATTTTTTTTTAAAAAAAACAATAATAAACGAAGTAGAGCTTAATTCAGGGAAGTGGCCTTGTGCTGTGACCTTAATAAGCATTTTTTTATAGATGCGCTTCTTTAATAGATTGTGAAAGATATGATAGAAGAAAAGGATAAAATCATGATAAATTGTCCAAATGTCATTAAAATTTATAATAAAAGGAGGTTAGAAAAAACATAACGGCTAATTAACTCAATATAACGATAAGAAAGGAAGATGTAAAATGCCAAGATGACTATTTGCAACGAATGTCGCTTGTTGGAGTATATTTACACACCAAAATAATTATCTTATAGATTTTCATCAAAATTAAAATATTTAAACGTTTAATATTTATTGTGTTTAAATAAAGTTAGATATATTTATAGTTAATAAAGATTATAAAAATTGAAATTTGCATCCCTTAATTACATAATGTGCACTTTATTACACATACTATTCATCTTCTAGGAAATTCAGATTTTTTTTTAAAAAAAGCAATGAGATTATCAATAGTATAGAAAGAAGAAAAAATGTGATTAGGGCAAAAAAAAATTATTCCAATATAGTGCATGCAATACTGGGGAAAAAATTGCAAAAAGATCTTATCATTGAGTAACGATTCTAGATTTAATTATAAAGATATAAGAATCAAATTATCCATAAACAAATACAGATGGTAGAGTCTAACCATTAGAAGTCTCTCTATATTTTCCGAACCTTAACCCATGATCGCTAAAAACTATTATAAACGTGTTTTTCAAGAGCTTCTTTTCCAATAACCTCTTAAAGTAAAGGGAAATAAATTGATCCATCACAGCCGCTCCTGGAAGATTATTGTGAGTAAATTTCGTGATAAAGTTTAGATTGAAATAAGGCTGACCAAGAATTTCCATTGATTTAATAAGAGATTCAGAATAATCTAGCAGCATGTCAATTTCACTCTTGCCATACAAAGAACAATGATTGTAACGTTTTGTGAGGTTCATGAATCTCATCCATTCTAGGGAGAATGGTCGAAAGTAAAAGTTTGAAGGAACGGCCAGAAAACCATTTTTTTGGTAGTTGTAGGTTGCATATATAGGTTCGTCCTCGAAATAAATGCTGGCATACCCTCTTTTTTCGTATTCACGCCAAATCAAGCTTAAATTGTCAAAATATTTCATGGGTCCATGTGGAAACTTTTCCCAAACCCATTTTCCAGTGAGTAAAGGGGTTAAATTGGGGTACGTATTATCGCCTACCTTAAAATAACCCTTATAGGAGTAAACGCTTTTTCTGAGAGAACTAAGAAGTCCATAAGTTTTACCGAAGTACCTCTCAAAATTTCCCCTTGATGTTGAATCCACACCCATTAGTAGTATGTTCATCCTATTATTGCTTAATTTGGCTTCATTTAATAAATTACGCTTTATTTGTGTCTTTATATAATGGGCTACTACAACTGGCGCAGGAACTATGTGGGCATTTTGATAAATGACGGAGTTGTTTTTATCATGACATGTCACACTGAGGTAGACATCAAAGCTTTGCTGGTTAATATTAGTAAACGAGATCTGATAAGAGGTTAAGTTGGACATGTAAACTAAGGTGGAGGTATTAAAATGAACAGGTTCCCCGAGAATGTTGTTATCATCAGGAAGGTTTGATTTGTTATCTCTAAGTACATGAAAGTAATAACAACTTCCTAAATTTTTTGAACCTCCATAATAGGCGTCTAGTACTTTAGTATCCAATATAATTTTGAAATTCGAATCTTGTTCCGAAATGTCAATACGATTTATAGCACTGAGAGTTGCAGACTCTATAAAGGTCAAAGGTATTCTTACATCTTGTGTGCAATCTAATTTCGAATAACTCAAATATTTGAGCTCTAGATAAGGGGTTATAACATCTATGGACGTGTTTAATCTTAAAATTTTACAACGAGGCATATTTAAATCATATGAAATAGAAGAAATCTTACCATATTTGATTAAATCTGGGTTAAAATTTATTAAAGTATCAGTAATATGAGAAGTATTAGGAACGGAAAATGGTAGCACAATATTTTTGCCACTCCAAAGTTTCCAGAAAATCCCTGAATTATAACTGTAAGAGTGCCAAGAATAAAAGATAAAGAATAACAAACATAAAAATATGACCTTTCTGAATGTGTTGCGTCTTAGGGTACGAAAAAAAAATCTGGCTCCTCGCATTCCTTTTCCGAAATAAATAAAAAAAGAAATAAAAATTTTAAAAGAAATTTTTTGGAAACTATTTTTGAAATATAGTGCTCATAAATATCTTTATAAAATTTATAGATACTTATTGAAAATTTATTTTATCAAATATTTAAACTAACACAATACCTTTAGACGAGCCAGTACCAGTAGTCTGTAATTTCAATAATATGACAAAAATAATTTTATTTCGGTTTATGGTAACACCAAAATTATATCTCTATACTATAATAAGAAAATATTCAATTACCGTGAATATTATTAAATCACTATACTAATATATATTTTTTCAAAATAAATGACCATTAAACCCAGGGCAATTTAATGTAACTTATTTAAAATATTTTATTTTTATTGTGATGACCGATAAATAAATATAGAATTTTAATCTGTTTGTATGATGAGAGGTTTCAAATCGCGATATAGTTAAAAATTGGGGGTATTTCTTTTAAAAATATATTTTTTTTACAAATCTTTTCATTTATATTCTCAATAGTTGTAAAATTTTAATTTCGACTCTTATTAAATTGCTTAGAAGAAATGAAATGATGATACAACTTGGCTTAGCATTATAGGTCGCAAAAATACAAAATAGTATTTAGGAAATAACATTACTATAAACATTGTCAGATTTCTATCTGAAATTCATTTGTAATAGTAGATATATGATAAGACTAATAAAATTAAAACGTTAAGGACAAAATCGAAACAGAGAAACGCGGAAAAATTAAAATCTCTAAGATATAAATCTATTGTGAGTAGCGTTGTTAGATGATTACATATACGCAGAGTTGTTAACGCTCCTTTTTGAAAGTAGCTAGCTCCCGCTCTTGCTCCCGCTCCCGCTCCCGCTCCCGCTCCCGCTCCCGCTCCTACCTTATCAAAAGAAGCTAGCTCTCGCTCCCTTAAAAGAAGCTAGATCCCGCTCCAAGTAATGGAGTGCCACTCCATAACCGTTCCTTTGATTTTCATTTTTTTAGAAGGTACACGAAACAAAATCATATTTTTTTTCAAAAAGTTTTATTTATATTAAATGATCTATCAAAATATTTATTTATTAGCCTTTAAAGGTAATAAATTTTCTTAATTAGAATCTAACAAACATCCACGCCTCTCCCCTAAGACCTGTTTTGCAATACTAAATAAGCGCTCCACAGGAGCACTAGAGGGAAGCGGGGTATTGTATTTTATAAAGATATTTTTTAATTCATGTATAAAAAAGAAGGTTGAACAAGTAATGAGAAAATTAGAATAAAAATTTTAATATATTTAAAAATGCATCATATATAACTCAAGCTCAACTATAATGAATTTCCCAAAAATAATTTTAACCATTTAAAAAAAAATTATTCTAAAATTAAAAAAATATAGTTATCATTTCGTATTTAAAAGAAAGATTTTTTTCTTGTAGATGCTTTTTTAGATTGGAGCTGCTCACTTTTGAAAATGAAATACTTTTACTTAAACACAAAAGGCATTTTGCCTTTAAATTTGTTTGATCATTTGGATCAACATCTTTTAGAAGTTTAAAATATTTTTTGCATGATTTCTTCTTCTGTGATCTCTAAATCCATAATATCGAAAACTATTTTAATATCTATCAAATGAATATTAATATGACTTACAAGATTTTCCAAAAAATTTTCATTATAAAAATGAAAAATTTGATGTTTAATATTTAAAATGATTAGAAGAAAAACCAATATAAAACTCGGCTCAACATTTAATAATGGATAAATTTAAACAAAATAAAATTTCATTTTTATCGAATTTTAATTAACAAAGATTATTAATATTTAAAAAATAATTTAATTTATACCCTAAATTTATAGGAGCGGTGGAGCGGCGCTCCTCCACTCCAGGCTAAAAAGGAGCTAGCTCCCGCTCCTCATTTTTAAAAAGGAGGGGCGATTCAGGTGTTTTTAAAAAAATATAGCGCCGCTCCTTTACAATTCTGCATATACGTCTATATATTGTATGGTGCGTCCAAACTTAAAAATATCAATAAAAGGTTTACACAATTTAACAATATAATAAGACAGGTAAAGTTAAAATGCGTAAACCTCTTATTATTTTTGAGTTTGGACATGCCTATGATCTCCGTAATCTATAATAATGTCAAATTAAAGAATTATGTGCTTTAATAACTAAAAAAAACATATATTGATGATGAGAAAAACCAACATTATTAATACAATTAATAGGTGCTCGTGAATATAATACTTATATCTTAATTGAGTTTTTTTTTTTAAATTTCCTAATATGATATTGGGAAAACTTAACCATTAAAAGATTTGTCTCCCGAACCTGAACCACTAAAAATGCCTGTGAACCGATTTGAATCTTTTTCTATTTTAACTCTTTTAAAAATGATTAAGTAATTATATTAAATATTTTTCTATATTGCTTTGACGGTGCAAGCTACCCAAGTTGATAGAAGTATTCTTAGTCATAAAATTTATTCTTCCAATTTATAGATATAACTTGATAGAAGAGAAAATTGATAATATTTTATATGTATACGGCTCAATACTATTTTTTAGAGAATAGCGATAAAATTAAAAAAATAATTCTTTTCTTTACATAATTTTAATAAGCTAGGTTTAAACCGAACCAATATTATAATTTTCTACGAACCGAATCTGAACATTTATTATTGTCTGAACCTTCGTTAGGGTTTGGATCCGATCCCTAAATATAAAAAATCAAATAAGAATTTAACCAGCAAAGAATAAATTGCATAAATAAAAATAGAATATAATGAAAGATTTAGTTCTTAAGTAAATAGGTGGCATAGCCTAACCAACATTTTGCTTAGAGAGATGGGGGGGGGCACTATTAGGTGAGTATTTCCCCCATAATTTTATTACAGGTTTTTAGGTCCATTTATTGTAAGACCTTTATTATATTTGATTTTTATAAAAGAAAATTCTGTTTCACTTTTTTTTTTATAAAAATGGTTTTCTTTAAAAATTTCGAATTATAATCTTTATTTTAAAGTTATTAACTTTTACTAATTTTTATTTAAAATTTTTCTTTATAGGGATATATTGTATCAGGGTTGGCAAAGAAGGAGTATTTGACCTGGCCAAATACGGTCAAATACTCTAAAATGTTATTGGTGAATAACTATATTGATTTAATTAACTAATATGTATTTAAAGCATATTTATCAATCTAATTTATTTACAAATTATTTAAAAATATATTTATATCATCAAGGCATCGATTTAATTATAATTCTATATAAAAATATAAAATTTTCATAATAAAATATTAAAATATTAAAATTTCAATCTGAAATAAAAAAAAAGAATTTTTCTCATTATTAATTTGATTGAATCTAAAGATATAAATAAATATTATAATTTTACTTAAGCATGGTTTAAGAAAATTACTAATTGCATTAAATTACATTATGTACAAATATCCAAATAAGATGGGCAACATTAATAAAATGTAATGAGCAAATACATATATGCATAAAAGCTCTGAAAGCAGCTGTTGAAAAAGTTTGATATTTGTCCGAGAGAAATTACCAATAATATATTTATGTAACATTTTAAAATATTCATAAACATTTAGCTATCATATTGACCTTGGCTCACGTAAAAAACGAGATGCTAAATTTAGAAAACACGTAATCATGATATTATAATTTACCAACCTAAAAAAAATATTAAAGATACGTTTGAAAAAGAAAACAATCCAAATACGTGTGCCCACACTGCACTGCTGATTATTTATTGGATCCCAAATATAAGGGGAGAATCTTACTTGAGTTTGATGAAGCCATAATACAAAAATTAGTCGTTTTATAAAGTGATGATCTTTAAAATATTTTAAGTGATATCATAAATTTCAAAAGTAAAAGCGGCGGTATATTTAATAGCCAAAATATATGGAAACCAATAACTTTCATAAAAAACAATCAGATTTTTGGCTTAAGTTGTTGGAATGGACTTTGTTCACCTTGAATATTAAGAGAAGTGTCTAAGAAATTCAATTGAAGATCTCGATAACCAGAAGATTGGTAGGAGTAAATCATAACCTAAGATTGATAAAAAATGTTAAAGAAAATAATAAGAATGAATATTAGTGTTGTAAACGAACGCGTTCAAAATGAATTTTGAAAAAAGGTGATGAACGGCGTTCCTTTTTTTTTGACGAACTTTGTACGTGAACGCGTTCCTTTTCTTTGATGAACGCGTTCAATTTTACGTTCGTTCAATTTTAAAAACACTTTTTATTTTTATTTATTTGAAAAATTAATATTAATCCGCATTTTTTAACAAAAAAGTCTTATATTTTTATTTATTTGAAAAATTAATATTTAATCCAATTTTTTAACAAAAAAGTCTTATATTTTTTAATCAGCTGTTTTTACTTTTTCCTCTTTCATATTGCAATTAACGTACCATAGTGCTACTGCTAGAGAAGATAAGATTAAAGTTTATTAATTTGAATATTTTATATTTTAATTTAATAGATTAGCATTTGCATGGATATAAATATTTCATCATCAGATTCTGAAAATCAAAATTCAATATTAGATGAATTAGAATTACCATGGCCCAAATATCAAAAATATTTCACTGTTTTAAAATCAATTCCGAGATATCCTTTTTTTTTGACGAGGAAGAAGAGGGCAGATTGGAGGATGATAACATATCTCAATTTTTTGAAACAATGGATAAAACATTAAATGTTTTTACTAAATTCTCCCTTTTAAAAGAATTATTTATCAAGTATAACACCGCAATCCCTTCATCTGCCCCTGTTGAGCGAGTTTTTAGTATAGCTAACGCTGTATTAACTGACAAGCGTTCATGCCTATCAGATGAAAATTTTGAAAAGCAATTATTATTAAAAATTAATAAGAAAATTTTTTTATAAATTTATTTTTTTATCGCTCTATTATATTGTATTTATAATTATATTATCAAAATAAAACTATTATTTTTTATCATGGCTAATATATTGTGTTGAAAAATATAAGGCATTTATTTATATCAAATTAAATTTAAAAAAAAATTTATCATAAAATTTTGAACGTATGAACGCGTTCATGAACTTGAACGCGTTCCTTTTTTTGAATTTGAACGTGAACGCGTTCGATTTTTGTCAATGAACGTTGAACGCGTTCGATTTTTTTAAAAATGTTTACAGCACTAATGAATATAAATTAGAACAAGACTCTGCCATGTAGAGCGAAACATTAATTATAGAATTTAAAAAAATATAATTTAATATACATACATTTTTTACTATTATATATAAAATAGAATTAATATTGTCTTATAAAACATTTATTTGAATTTGACCGGCCAAATGCGCAACCCTGTATTGTATACATTTTTGGGAGGAAGAGGGGGTGGGGGGTGTAGAATTTTATTATCTTAAAACGATATTTACGAGATCAAGCAAATTTCCGAAGGGGGAAGGATTTCCTCTTAACCCCTCTCCTGAGACAAACTTCGTGGCAGAAATCGAATATGTTTGCCTTCAACCTTCATATATAAAAGAAGGAAATCTTTCAAATTCATCAATGCGTTCATTCAAAAAGCATTTTAGTTGTTAATATTAATAAATTCATAATAAGACTACGATAATTTTTAGATTTAATATTTATTATTAGATACAATATTAGTAAATAAAAGGGGTAATTCCCACAACCCCCTCCCCCTCCCCATAACATTTGCATCTTCTAGTAGCCCTGGTTTTTGCATTATATCTCTGTTTTTATAAATTGTGGAAAAGAATAATTGCAAGAAAAAAAGCAGATATTTTTTGAACCGTAACTAGAACTTTTTGATTAGTGAAGAGGAAGGCCAATGAGTAAAAAATTTCCAAAATATTTTCAATGTTTCGACCAACACCAAATACATATATTAACTTTCTTATTTTGCCTTCTAACTTCCGGTTTTTTTAATATTCTGTTTAAGAATATGGAGGCACAATTAAGGCACTAAATACCCAAAATAGAAAACAATAACTCTATTTTTAAATTTTGGCATAGTGCCAAAACCTTTTTATTTTGCTTATAACTCACGAACGGTTAATTCTTTCGGTGTCTGGTTTGAAGATCATTTAGGCACATATTATGCACTATATGTTGGTATAAATTTTGGAATTTGTGCGTCACTTTTATAAAGCTATTGCAAACATCACGCTTGTAAAACCACAATAACTTGGTAACGGTTAGTGCCACACCGATATCCTGTTTGGAGAATATGAAAGCCCAACTTAAGCTAATGACGCAAGTTTCTGCTGAATATCATTTTTATTATTTTCGATTTTGTATATTTGACATTTTTTCTTATTTTGTAATTTTTCCAATGTCTGGTTTTAAGATTATTTATGCACTATATTTTGGCATAAGTTTTGGAATTTGAGCCTTTAGTCGTTCTTCCGGCATAAATTTACACACTTTCCTATTCCTATAACTTACTTTCGGTCTTTTGATATTCCGTTTTAAAAATATGGAGGCACAATAAATGCACTAAATATTTGCCCAAAGTAGAAAACGATAGCTCTATTTTTAAATTTTGGCATAGTGCGAAAACCTTTTCTTTTCTTATAACTCACGAAAGGTTAATTTTTCTGTACCCGGTTTGAAGATCATGCAGATTGTGCACCATATTTTGGCATAAGTTTTAAAATTTTTAAAGTCATTCTGTCAACTTCACGCTTATAAAATCTATATAACTTGGTAACGGTTAGTGTTACCGATATCCTGTTTGGAGAATATCAAGGCAAAAATTTTGTACTATGTTTGCATAAGTTTTGGAATTTTTGCCTCAACTAATTCTTCCAGCAGCAAATTTTCATACTTTTCTTATTTTGATTATAACTCACTAACCTTTAATTTTACCGGTGTCTAGCTTGAAGAGGAAAATTAAGCACTAGATATTGGCATAGGTTTTGGAATTTGTGCTTCAAGTCGTTGTGCCTCTATAAAAATGGCACAAAATGTAAAAGAAACAACGATCCTTAATTAGTGGTTACAAATTTTTTTGTGGGGGAAGGGGATGATTTCCAATTACTCAGATTCAAACATATCAGTTAGAATATTCCATTTTTTTAAAGATAAGTGAAGTATATCATATTTTGGTAACATTATATATAATAGCGAATTTATATATTACAGAACAAACAAGTATGGAACTTTTAATGCCCTCCTTTTTATTACTTTACATGGGTAACAAAGTTTTATCGGTTTCTTTCAAAAAATCCGTAAACTGCTAAAGGACGAGTCTTTGACCAACGTGTAAAGTGAATGGAATAGTATCTATCAAATATGACTCATTTTTTTTTCTCAAAAATATTATAGTTCACTCTAACACAAGTTGCGACATTTTTAAAGTACACCAAAAAAATTAAGTTCCTAGATTCTTAACGATTCCTTGGTTCTTTAAAAAAATAATAAAGCTATATAATATTAAAGGTTGTAAAAAAAATATATCCCTTTAAATGTAAAATTTATTTTGAATCAAATATAACCTAAAATTATTTGATATAATTCTAACAATTTAAAATAAATAAATAATACAATACTATTATATATTCCCTCTCCCGGACAGGTTTTTATTGCAAATATATTTCTGTTCTCCTCTCAAAAAAATATAATGCATTTTAAAATACATTAAAATGACGAAAAATAAATACATCATTTCAGGCGATTTTTTTTAAAAAAAAACTATTTTTAAATAATATAATATTCTATTTAGAATCGTCGTAAATCATTTCGAAATCATCGCCATTTTTATTCGGTATGTCGATATCGTGATTGAGCGAAACGTCATCTCCCAAAGTATTCGAAAAATCGTCTGGGTTTGATGCAAATATTATTTGAAATTTTCAAGTTTTTGTTTATGAAAAATAAAATAGGATGTATACATTTAAAAAACATCTCCATAATAAAATAAAAGGCCCTAGGCAAAAAATTTATCAATCATCCCTGTCTTCACCTTCTTTATAATCTCCGGCTCCACCTCCTTTCGCATCTTTATTGTCGTCAGCATCACCATCTTTCGAATCTTTGAGCATTTTGTCGCTGTCGGGATTTTTGAGCGTCGTTTTGGACTTTTTTGATTTTGATACGCCGCTAGCAGAGTGGCATTTTTTGTGAGTGTACAAGGGAATGAATGACTCGACAAAGCCCACGTCCTCCAAAAGGTTTGGCAAAAACCATACGTGATGTGTTCCCAAGGTCATAGTCCATACAGCTCCAAATATCACATACCTCACTATGTTAATGATGTTATTAATATTATATTAATGATACAGTTTTATAACAAAATGGAAAAAATGATTTTTAAATTTCGAGCCCTTTATAAAGAGGCTCTAGGATTTTAGTAATAGTTCATTACTAAATCCAGAAATTTTTTTTACTATATATATATTAAATACCCTATTATTCTTTAATTCGCTAACCCTTATATTTTTCTGATTCGAAAATGAAAAGTGTTCTTACTCAAGGCGAGGAATAAAATGACACCAAGAAAGCCTGCTCCAGCTAGACTGAGATAGTAGACACCCGATCTCATGGCCATCGGCCACAGAGGAAACAAGCAAATCACTATGGCTCCTATAACTGTAACATATTATGTTAATTAATTTTTTTTAAAATAGCGTATAAAAGTATATAAATTAAATTGAATAAAAGAATAAATTTTTTAAAAAAATTTAAAAAATCTCTAAAATATTTCTTTATTTATAAGCATTTTAATTTAAGCTACGGTGTAATTTAAGGAAAGGAAATTGCTAAATGGCACAAAGAAGATATTAGTCGAGGTCAGTGGTTCAGTTTATCAGAGCTTTAAATAAAATGAGCTCAAAAAATTATATAAAGTTGACAAAATAACACATTACCAGTAACATATACATTATTATAAAAATTTTAAATAAAATCAAAGACTTATTAAAACTTAAAATTAATTTTTTAAATTTTGGAAATTAATTGTGCACACATTTTTAAAATCTGATAAAGTGAAAAATTGTGAATCATAATTTATTTGATGTTGCAAGTATAGGGGTAACTTCTTATATTCGACTTAACCTAAAGTTTTCGGTTTTGATAATCAACTTATAATAAATACATTTGTTGTTGTCAGAGGCGTAATTATGTCGATTTTTTTAATTAGGGGGTGCTATAAAAATAATTCTAATTTTTTATTTTATTGTAATAAGTTTAAAATAATAAATTACAAGTGCTAATTTTTATTTTAAATGTTAAGGACCATCTTATCCTTCGCTTTTGATGCCAATGATGGTTACTGTTGTGTTAGTTATCATATTTTCTTATTTCGACATTCGCAAATAAATGAAATTTTTTCAATTCAATAATAATTATTTTATATTATATAGGTGTTCAAAACCAAAACAAAAATGGGTCCGGTTCATGATCCGGTAATTATATTGTTGCCGGTTCGGTTTGGTCCTTTCCACTTAAATTCGGGTTTTTGATATTCGGTTCTATTTCCAAATCTAATTTATTTTTTCTTCCCATCCCCTTATATTAATTAAGTCAATGGATAAAGGATAATAATACCATAATTATGTTATTAAAAATTATAGTAAAATCAAAACAATAAAAAAATATATTTTTAACAAGCAAGATGCAATTATTCATTTCTTTCATGGCAAAAAAATCTAAAATTAGAAATTTATAAAAAAACGGTAATATATTAAAAACAAATAAATTATATTAAAGTATATTTTCATAATTATTATTTTTTTAAAAAAAATGAGCAAACCTATGAAAAATCCTAAGATCCAAGTTTTTATCGGGACCGGATCATAGACCCATACGTAAAACTGGTTTCCAAATATCGAAATTAATATTAATAGAATATATAATAGCTGGTATAAATATTTATGAATTGATATTTTTTTAAGGCATAATTCTCAAAACTAAGGGGGGAGATAATTATTAAACGAGATATTTGAATTCCAATTTTAACCCTTTATATTTTAGGAGAAATTCGGATAAATAAGGTAATTGTTACAACCCTTTCTCTCTAGTCTTATGCTCCGATTATTAAAAAAAATTATTAACGTTCTCTATTATTTAAAATCTACTCTCTTTCTTTCTTAATTCTTTGGTAAATTATTATATTTTAATAAACCTGTTCGTTCCCTTCAACAAAAGCTTGTGTCTCATGAAGTTCCAGTTTGACTTTCTTCTTATCCTTTTTCTTTTTTGTTTCGACACTATTCTTCTTTTAAATATATATATTTGCAAATTTATATACGCCATTTTCAAACTAATAAATTTTTTATTATCCTCTTTTTTGTAGGACGAGGCTAATTTTTTTATGTTTCATTATCCTAGCTGAGTTAGTATTATATTACAACCGATAATATAATCATTCTGCTATCTTTTTAAATATTATTCGATTATTTAAAAAATCTTCAAAAAAAAATTGTGATTTCATCTTCAAAGATTTTTTATGCATGAAAATTACAAAATATTTACTAGATGTTCGAAGATTTTTTAGGGTTGTGCCGATATTAAATATCGTATCGGGGCCAATATTTAGCATTTTGGAAAATATCGGATAGGGTGGATATTTTTCAAAAACCGATCCGATATTTTTATTGCTTTTGGTTTTGATTTTATATAAGATTAAATAACATCAGTTCATTTATATAATTTCATTAAAAAATCTCAATTAATTGCAATGTTTAAAAAAATCGAATTATTTTAAATAATAATGTTAGCTAAAAAGTTGGTATCATTTTTTTGTTATATATAATCTGTAACAAGAAAAGAGTTTAAGCTTATCTAACGAGTCACATAAACTAGTCTTCGATTTCGCCGATTCTTGAAAACTGATAATTCAAGATTTTCACCAGAATAAAATTACCCAAGTTTGGAGATTTTACTCACCGATGACAGAAAGGTTTGGACATCTATTGGCAAAATTTTGAGGCTTATGAAATATTATTTTGACTCTTAATTTAGCCGTTGGGTCAAATCGAGCTGTTTAGTAAAACTAGATTCAGCTATAAGCATTGCCAAAATGAGATGATTAACTTTGGAGAATTCGGTTTTATAGTAATATCGGATCGGTGCAAAATTTGTATATTGGCACAACCCTAATTTTTTTCAAATCTGTTTTCAAAATTTAAACTGTATTTGGGAAATAATATAAAGTTGAAATGAAAAAAAGTTAAAGATTTTAAATTAAGTTATTACTAAGAATTCGGTGGGAAAACAAAAAAAATCATTTAATTATACATCAGAAGAGCTCTTTTTATTTCTCTTTCTCAAATTCGTATTTTTGTCAGGAATTTCTTCAGCGTTTTTGGAAGGCTCGTTTTCATTTGCATCTTCGTGTTTGGCCTTTTTTTCGTTAGTGGAAGAATCTCCATCATTATTATTGATTTTATTGGATTCGTTATTCGACTTTTCATCAGGAATTTCCAATATCTTTATGAACTTCCTCACTCGGTGGAAGAAATTCTTGTAGAGTAATCTTAGGTTTCGAATAGATAAAAATTTGATTAATTTAGAGATAAATATTATTTTTTTTAAAAAACAATACAATGTATCAGGTTTGGCAAATGCCACTATTTGACCAATATTCACGTTATTTCATGCCTAATTTTTAACTCTCACGCATTTTCCCATGTCACACTGAACTCAAGTAGTTTTTTGAATGAATTGAAAAAATCTTAATTTTTAAAAAAATACTTAATTAATTTTGCCAAATTCTTAAAAATAAGATGTAAAATTTGTTAATAATCTAGCCACCCACCACCCAATCACACTTATAGATCAGCATTTAAATAATTAAAAACTGAATATAAAGGTATAGCTAGAAGGCAAATTATTTTTAAAAAAATAACAAGAATGCTCAGAAATAAATAGATGAATTTCCTATCATATTCAGAGAGATAAAGCAATTTTATATTATCAATTCCAAACTCAAATGCATCACGAGAATATTTAGTCTAATGACTGCAGCATCGTGGAGAAAAGAACTATTACACTTAACTGGAAATTGACAACATCGTGGAGAAAAGAACTATTGCACCTCACTGGAAATTGACCTTAAGGTAATAACTATTCGTGCAAAGAATTTTCGGCCTATCTTTACAGGACCGATATCTTAAAAACCATCCATAAAATAAAATTTATTAATTTAACAATAGTATTATTTATAAATAAAAAATATATATTATTGAATCTACTGTAATAATCTTAATAAATCAAACATAAAAAGTGACATAGATAAGTGGGAGATGTCTACCTCCTTCCCACCATAGAAAATATGACATGGTTAAATTATGTATTGATATAAATAGGCGGATTGGGGTTGACACCCCTCTCCCCTCAATCGTATAAAAAATCTAAAGGGGATAAAATTTGATTTTATAATTTCTACCTTAATCTCCTTAATTTTCTTCTCTATAAAATCAACTCGAAAATTTTTTCCCATTTAAATCTAAGAATAAATTTTACGTATTTCTCAAAAAATGTTAGACACATCTCATATAACTAAATTCAAAATATATTGAGATTTTAACTATTTCACAACTACATCAATTAAATAAACAGAAAAGAACAGAAGGATCTTTAGATTCAAAAAGTTTGAATCGAAGAAGAAGACATTTTAATGTATCTGAATGTAATTGATTTTTTGAATAGTGTAAAAGTCTGATATTAAGACATATTCTAACCCCTCATTCACAGTTAGCGTGAATTCGCGGGTAATTTTGTAATGCAGGATAGAACGTGACGTTATAGTTTTTATTTCGCCTATCACGGTTTCTATTACTGGCAAATTTGATCCATGAAATAAAATAGAAATTAAATATTGGTAGAACCAGGATAGTCAGTGCTTCTATCGTTTTCTTAAGGATTTGACTCTATTTTTCCTATTTTTATCATTCATGCTTTTTTTGTTAAACTATCAACCAAATGGGTTACTGATACTAAAATATATTAAATTCAAATAAACCCTAATTATTGAAATAAGGTCGATGCTTCTAGAAGCTTTCCCGAGGCCACGCTTAAAGCATGATATCATAGCTTTTTATTTAGGTTATAATTCGATTACTTTTTCGTGGTTGAAGAACGTGATTAAATAATAATAAATAACGAAGGTCAACAGTCAGTCCTATCGGTCTTAGATCGGGACTGATTAGATATCTTTTTAAAGACCACAGTCCAGACCGGTCTTTTTATTTTTTACGGTCCGGACCGATTTTTGTATTAATATTTATGTTTGCTTTATTATTCAATTAATCTTATTTTTTTGTATATTTTATTTTACTTTACTTTATGTTAGTTATTTTAGTTTTTAAATTTTTAGTTCATTTTTATTTTGCAATATGAAGACCATAAGTTTTTTAAATAAGAATTTTACCTATAGTCACAGTAAACCAAAAAATAAAAAGATCGGCACCGGTCTTTTTATTTAGAACCACCTGGATGGCTTTTTTATAAAAGATCATGGTCTGGTCCGGATAAAAGACCGGACCGTGACCTTCACTAATAATAAAGCATACATGCCATGACGCATACATTTTGCAGTGTTCTTTCTTATTTCCCCAATAAACCTTTTCCCTTTTAATAACAGGGTTAAAGCACTAAAATGTAATAATTAGGCATATTTAATGGTTTGGATAAGTTTCAGATTTGGTGTTTCCAAGAGCTTGGCTCACTCCACCAGCCATGGGATGCCCTCAAATGTTTTTTCGTGAAATGAAGATCGCAAATGGATTATTAGCCGCTGAAATAGAGGAAAGAAATGTGAAAAATTTTGAAAGTTTTATGGGAAGCCTCATTTTGTAAAAAAAATAAATTTTGAATCATTGACAAATTAGGCAATTAAATAAACCTAAAATAAAACCAAAACTATTTAAATATGTAAAATAAATACCTTTTAAGACGAAATTGGATCTTCATTTATTGTTAAATATAGAATGTTCGTAAAGAATAAATTTAAAATAATAAAAGTAAACACGTATAAAAAAATTAAAAATTTAAATAAAAAAGTAATATAAATAATAATGTAAGAAAAATATTGTGGAGAATATAGTAAATTAAATACATGTGAGGATCTATTAATCGATGAAATTGGAGGATATTTGTCCTGTATGTAAGAAAACGTGTGAAAAGGTGAATGTAAATAGAGATGAAATGAAAATAAATTTTTTTCCACCCTAAAGGACGAGCAAATTCTTTTATTTATGCAGCGACATCAGATCTCCTTTTCATATCAAAATATAATATTTTAACAATGAGCCCATCAAATGGGAAGAATTATTATTTATTGCAAAACGAAATTTTCAGGGCGTTCAAAATACTAAATTTGATGAAATGCCAAAAATAAGTAATATCTTTAGTGAATTTTAATTTTCCTATCATATTTGCAATATTATTATAAAATAATCTTTCAAAAATGAAAATTTTTACAAGAAAAAAATTATTATAATCGCAGCTAAAAAATTGCATTTCATGATATTAATGCTGGTCTTATTATTTATATTTAAAAATGGAAAAAATTCAAAAAAAATAATTCAAAATGCGTTATTTTTTAAAAAAAATCATAACTAAAAAAACCCATAGCTGTCCCTAGTTAAAAATATTTTATATATAGATATAATATAAGTGAATAATAAAATATTAAATTCAAAGAAATTCGAAAAGCGAAACAAGTTTTCAAATTTTATAACTTAAAAAAACCGCAAGATTATTATTTTATAATAATCCGTAATAATTAATAAAAGGCCTTTAACAAAGTTTTTATTTTTAGCAACATTATTTTTTAACATATCCCAATTTTTCAAAATCTAATTTTTCAAAATAGGCCATTTTTGAAACTTTTGACCATCGATATCTCAGAAACTATTAGTACTTGAAGGTAAAAATTTTGGATTCGATGCTTTTTAATGATGGTGTCTCGGTATGCAAAATTTTTATCAAAATTAAAAAGGGCAGATTAAAAAGTTATAGATTTGGTATGTAACTAGAACTACCCTTAGACTGAATCATGAGTAGAAACTTAAGTTTTATTATGAAAGTATATAAATATTTCACCAATAGCCATAAAATTCTCATAAATGATAATAGAAGTTGCCAAATGACCAGTTTACTTCTTGTCCAAAAGTTTATTAAGAGTATGGTTTGTATATTTTATATTTACAAATAGGTTAAAACGCCTAAAAAAATTGTACAATTATTTGCTAAATTGAAAAGATTAAAAATTATAGAAATATTGTAATGCCAATTATTAATAAGATGCAACTTGTGATTGAAACAATGTATATAAGGCATCATTTTATTAAAACCTATTTCAATCCTAAACCGGTCGGCTATATCCAGGGGTTCGAACCGAACCGAACCGCAAAACCGGAATGAACCGTTATGATTTTCTGAACCGTAACCTTAACCGAACCGTTATGAAGAAAATAAATATTTTGAACCGGTTTAAACCGGTTCAAAACGGTTTTAAAAATAATTAATTTTAAATTATTAACCTAAATTTAAAATTTTAATTTTCCTTGGGGGCATTTTTTAAATTGGTGATTTCTTTTCAAATTAAATATTTCCATATTATCAACATTATATATCAAATTAAATATTTTTATATTATCAACATTATATATCAAATAATACCAGGTTTGTTGTTTTTTCTTTAAATACTTAATTTATAAGAGATTAGACAATTTATCTGTTAATTAGATAAGATATCTTAAAATCAGACATAATTATTCTTGGCTAAATTAAATTTTTTATCTCATTATAAAAACTTGGATCATAGAATTTAAATGACAATAAATAAAATAGTCAGCAATATTTTAATGATATAATAATTTTTTATTTATAATCATTGTTTTTTTAAATTCAGAATTCTAATATTATAAATTATTTATTATTATAATATGTTAGTTAGCATTTACCATTATCATATATGCAAAATAAAAAAATATGATTAAAGAATGGCATTTGTAATGAATATTTTTCTAAATCTGTATTTTTAAATAATAAAAATCTTACTATAAATCGTTTAAATAAGTTAATTAACATTGCATTAAATTATTTTTATACTTTTATTTATTTATTAATGTGTTTTATATTTAAATAAACTTACAGTGAATTAAAAATAGGAATTACATTTTGATGTTAAACTAAATATAAATACTATAGTTTAACTTAAATTACCTATTCTGTCATATTATATTAACATCTAACAGAAATAAAGCACTGACCAATTTTTATATAATATTGTTTTACAATAATTTCTTATTAATTGATATATTCAAAAAAAGTTTATCTTAGTTTATATAGAATATATCAGAGTGGGTAATTTGAATTAAACTATACTAAATACTATGCCTACGTGTTCGTATTCGAAGGATAATTTAGATGATGATTTTGAAGATTTATTAAAGTAGCATGAAAGTCTTAATAAGAATAATTCTCAGGGCATCGAAAATTATAATAAATGTATAGAAATAGAATATATAATTCGGTCATTTGATAATAAATATAGAGAGATTAGAAAAAGATACTAATTTTTTGAATTATTGGGAAAATGTAAAGAATAGTATGCCAGAATTTATAAGTTAGCTATAACTGTGCTAGCAGTTCCAGCTACGCAGGTCTCCGTAGAAAGAGCATTTTTAAGCCTTAAGTTTATACTCTCTGTGCAGAGAACTAAATTAAATCCTGAAATATTAGAAAATATTTTAGTTATCCGTTCGAATTCTCTTTTTAAACTAAACAGTATAGTATACATATTATTTTATTGATTATTGTATTTATGTTTGTTTTTATCTTATTTATTTATGAAATAAAAAAAAACTAATTTGTCTAATTTATATTTCCTAAATTTAATAAAAATATCTATTAGATTATCATGGATAAATTAAATAAGAAATTATAAACTAAAAAGATTTTTCTCTAAAATTAATATATACATGGTTAATGATTAAATTTAAATTTATAAACAAACCGAAAAGAACTGTTATAAATTATAAACCAAACCGAACCGATATGATTTTTTTTAAAAAAACCGAAATGGAACAAAACCTTTATAAAATTTTAAACTAAAAACCGGAACGAACCGAACCGTTATACTAAACGGTTCGAAACCCTGGCTATATCTTTGCTAGCGTTAATGTAAAAGTTTAATCCTCTAAATTTTTAAATCATTAAGCAGGTGAATGAATGTGTCATTTTACATCCAAAAAATAAGCGTTGGGGGAAGCAAATAAAAAATTGCTTATTTTTTTAATAAATAAAAGGCAAAGAAAATTATTTTATAATATATTTTTTCCCTTCTTTTAAATAAAAAAATTCATTCTTTATTAAATTAATTAATTAATTTTAAATGTCTAATAATTGCAATTTTAAAATTAAATCTGTAACGCTTACAGCAGAAATATTTTCTAAATCAACCATTCCTATTAAATTCTCTTAGATTTTTTCACAAAAAAATATAATTAAACTCAAATTTTCAAAACTTGTTGCATCTTCTGTATTAAGAATTTTGTTCTTTTATTTAAATTTAATAATGAAAATTTAATAACAAATATCTTTTCTATTTTCGCAGTCCAAAATACTTTTGGAGGCAAGGTTTATGGGCCAAATATTTTTGGGTGGGACCATGCATACCATGGCTATGGCCCTGTTGATATGTAATCACTCAAGAGGATTTTATCGAGCAAGCAAATTAAAGATAAATGAACAAAAACAAAATTTAGTGTTAATGTTTTGTAAAAAATAACTATATATTAAATTTAAAAATCGTTAGTAACGATTTTAAATGTACATAATTGTTTGCATTTACAAATTTTCAATAAAAATATTTATGAACATTAAACTATTTGTTTTTTTTTCAAAAATTGACCAACTCAATTAAACTATTGTCTTCCCCACACTTTAAGTAATTGGCTAAAGACATGCACTGTACACTTACTTTATGTGATGTCATAGCTTTTATTTTATTTATAACTCAATTTCTTATTTTGTGATTTATAGTTGATTGAGAAATTAATGAGTATTAATTAGGCATTTATTAGCATTAAACCAGATATTTAGTATTTTTTCTAATATGACATCAATTTTTTTTTATTTTGTTATTAACTTTTTTCTTTATACTTAATATCAAACAAATTAATATACTAAGTATTAATTAAGCACTAAACATTACAAAAATTTTCAGAAGTAATTCTTTCAGTCAATTTTTAACAATAAGGTTGGTCAAATTTTTATTGCTAATATTTTGGGAGTAAATCCTCTAAAAATGGTGAGTAAACCCCCCCCCCTCATAAAACCCTGGCAATAAACAAAAGGCCAAGCAAAAGGCAATCAAAATTAGGGGATGGGTTTGAGACCCCCCCCCCCCTGCCCAAAATATTATAATAAAAGAAAAATTCAAAATTTTGAGTAAAAAAATATCTTGTATTATATTAAATAGAAACCACTGGCATATTTATTTTAAATATCTAATTAAAGAGATTATTATTAATAGCACAATGCATATCACATTCATCTTTTGTTTAAAAAAATGAATGCCAAAACTAAGCTGAATCCAAAATACATTTATTTCTTTTAAATTTTATTAAAGCTAAAAAGAAAAGAAAATAAATTTAATATTTATAATTTTCATGAATATTTATATTAATTTGCAAATTAAATAAAATAAAATGAGATTTAACTAAAATAAATTTTAAAACATACGTATTTAAGTATTCTATAACAGCTTCTCTACTTGTAAAAGAAATATCTGATGCAGCTTTACCAGTGGCCCATTTGGAAGCCATCATAGTGTCTATGGCTTTATTGGCTAGAATTGATAATTAATTGCAAAAATATATTTGTGTGAATATGAAAAAACGATATTTAAAAAATATTTAGTGTAAATTGGTAAACCTGTAAAATACTGAACTTTACTTCCAAACATATTGGCCTTTTTTGAGGGAATTTTAAACCTTAAATATCTTGCTATTTTATTATCTTGTTTAGAGGGTTCATCCGACAAAATCTATATACCAATTTTATAATAAAATAGATATTTTAATCATACCTCTTTCTTATGTTTTGATTTTTTCTTTTCCATATTCTAAGGTTAATCTAATCTTATATATGTAACGCTCTAAATAATATACTATTTGAATGAGTTACATTCCTAATGGTGACAGTTGATTGAATGATTGAAATTTAATTGAAAATTCTAAGGTTTTAGTGATACGCTGTATCGAAAAGTGATGTATGTATTCATTTTTAAATTTAATAACCATGCTTCTTCCTAAAAATATTTCCAAAGTCCAAACAAGTATAAGATATCTCTTTATAAAGTAAGTAAATATATAGTTGATTCACTATTATAAAATATTAGACAAATTACCACTTTTATAGACATATTTGATAGTTTTAGAAAATATTACAATTAATATTTTAATTAACTTTACTAATCAATGCGTTTGATAATAAATATAAGTAAAAATTTTATTCCAATTCTTTAATACCATCTATTTTTTTTAATAAAAAAAATATGATTATTAAACATCGTATTATTCTTTCCAATGGATGTAATCTTTATTAGATATTTTTTTTCCTTTTTCTACATGTTTTAGGAAAGCCATTTTTTCTTCTTTGAATAACATTTTTGAGTTAAATTTTTAATACCAGTATATTTTTGTTGTTACTAGTACTACAAACTACTATTATGTTATGATATAATATACCAACTAAAGGTGGTGCGACAATAATATATAAAATCTTAATTGCTTTCATCATATCACTCTGGTCCTTAATTTCTAGTCACTAAATGATTCATTTCTAATATGGCATTCTTACCGTGTAAATAACGTAAGGCTTCTATATATTTGCTTAATTATTTCTTCTAAAGATTTTTAGTGTTTTTGTTTAATAAATTTATCTAACATAATTTTTACAGATTAGTGACAAAGCTTACTTAATCAATTTACGTATTATATTATTATATTACTTTCTATTATATTATTTTACCTAATCAATTTATATTACTTTACAAGATGTTTTAGGAGGCTGTAAATTAAATATAGATTTATATATAAATATCGCGAAAATATTAAACCGTTGGAAGTTTGATGGAACAGGAGAAAAGAATTATAGAGGACTGCTTGGTGAGAGGGAATCGGAATATAGTACCACGAAGACTAAGTAATTAAGTGGAGAGTTATTGCGTATGGGATATCAGGGGTAAGTAGAATGAAACAATAGGCAAGAAAATATGTATGGTGGCCATCGATGCAGAATATTTTTGGATAAGTGTGCCGAGTGTAAAACGTGTAAAAATGAAGGAGACATCACAGGTATGTGAACGGATACCTCCTTTTTTTGAATAGAAGAAGTATTATTATCTTATAGTGGATGTATTTTCCAAATGGATTGATTGAATTAAAGTTACGGAATTAACTTCAATTATAGTTAAAGAGAGATTAAAGAATTTTTTTGGGAAGTATGGAATGGTAAAGATCATAGTAACTGATGTTGGAACGGCATTTACAAGTGTAGCGTTTACGGCGCTTTGTGATATGCATGGTATTAGACACGTGGTCACGGTTCTAAATTATCCCAGCTCTAACGGTCAAGCTGTGAGAATGGTTGAAGTAGCGAAATTATGGATAAAAGGAAAAGTATGGAGACAGTGAAAGTTGGTTATCTCAAATAATAATAGTAAGATGAAAAGGAGGTTTAAGGAAAAGCTTTTACAAGTGTAGCGTTTAAGGCGTTTTGTGAGATGCATAACCTTCCCAGCTCCAGCGATGAAGCCGAGAGAATGGTTGCAGTGATAAAATTGTGGATGGAAAAGAAAGGTATGGAGGGAGAAGATGGTTATAACAATTGTTCTATAATAATAGTAAGAATGAAAAGGAGGTGTCAGAGGAAGGATTTTTGTGAGGAAACACTTTGTTAATGCTGGATTAATTAAGGAGAGAAAGAAACTAAAAAGTTGGATACGAGTTAAAGTTGAATAATTTCGAATAGGTTAATAATGTATATGTTGATGTTCAAGGGGATTTAAATGGATGAATGAGGGTGGGAAAAAAAATCAATTTTAAAGCGCAAGGCGTTATAATAGACATCAAGATCAATTGAGGCCTAGAGAGGAATGTAAAGGAGGGGAGATGTTATATTCAAGGATAATATGAGTGGAAAATGATTAAATATTAACATTATACGGGAGATGATTGGGGAATTAATTTTAAATCAAATAATGAAATAGCTGATGATAAATTGGGAAATCCTTATAAAAAGTTATTTAAATTAATTAAGCTAAAATGTGGGTAAAAGTAAAAATTGAAAAATAACGAGATATTTTATCAACATTGTTGATAGAGTTAAAAAAAAATTTGTTTTTGTAAAAGAAAAAATTTAATTTATAAAAAATATTGTAAATTAAGTAAAATATATATGGAAACATATTATGTGAGAATGCCGAATATGATGTTGCAAATAAATACTACTGCTTCCATGAAGAGTTCATTTTCTAAACCTGGTCAGAACTCATAGATCAAATATCCAATAGGGCATCTGAAAGGATTATAAAAGCTTTTTTGCTAGTACAACTTTCCGTCCATTCAATGTTTGGGCAACCACAACAAATTAGGTCACAGCTGACTCGCCTCGTATGCTATTCATGTAGAGGAAATGGACATAAAGCCACAAGCGGTTCAAACAATCAAAATAAATGGATAGGAACAAAATACTATTATAACGCCAAAACCTAGATAACGATATCACCCGTTAGTGTTGAAGCGTATAATCAAGACCACACTGTTGTAATATTGGATAAATATTTTTAGACAGAAAATGTCTTATTCAAATTAAAAGAATTGTTACGATATTACTTAATTTCATATTATAGACTATGTAAATGAGGATATTTCGAAATTGTAAATTTTGAAGGAAAGATATATATAGTAATTTTGTGGATATAATTCACTTTTCAGTTTTTGGAAAGAATTCTTTTTTAATTTTTCTTTATTTTTAACTTTAATTTATCATAGTTTTTTACTATTATCTTTATATAATGTTAATTTAATATATTTTCGCTTTATAATTTAATATTTTATATTTAATGGAAATGAATAAAGGAACCATAAATCATGTTATTACATGTTTGTTTCAATCTTCATACCCTTCATTATTCTATTTATCATTTTTTTTTTAATTCAACTGTTTTTTTTTATCTTCTACAATGATGTTCAAACTTTTAATTTTACACACACAACCCCTAAGTTACAGACTGTCCGAAAAGATCCTCTAAATGGGAGGCGCTTAGAAGCGCCAAGGATTAGGAGACATACTTTCTATAAACCCCATACAACGATGCCGAATTCTGAGAACAATACCGAAGAAGTCCAAGATGAATTCGCGGAGATGATAATAACATAACCATGTAATTAAGTAGGCCAATAATGACAGAATACGAATTAATAATGTAATATTTTTTATTTTATAAATAACTTTGCAGAATAGGCATTGAGAATATCTCAGAAAAATAAGGGAGGTATTCTAATCATATGTATAATTTGTAATGCATATTTTTTTGTAATATAACTTTATGTAATAACTATTATTGATTTTGTTTTTTTATATAAAAGCGTTTTTGTAATTATAACTTTTTAATGTTAAATTTATGTTAATTTGAAAAAAAGATAATAAAATTTAATTTTGATTTTTAAGGACTTTTTTAACTAATATAAATTGGAAACTGTACATTAATCTTATTTGATAATATTTAGCGACTTTACAATATCTATTTAAAAAATGTTATATCTTACAATTATTATTTATAGGCGATTTAAATAAAAAAAATTCATAAATACATAAAATATTTAACGTTAAAATCATCATTGCAAATAGCTGACAAATCAGTAATATTTTTATAACATTATAGAAATGGGTTTTAAACTGTCTATATTAATATAAGTCTATAGGTCCAACAAGGTAAAAGCTATAACCATTATCGTCTTCAACTCAAACATGCAACATATGTTAAGCATAAAAATACATTGAATTAACAGCCGTTGTTATATATTATAAAGTTTTAATCAAGGATAGGTTTTTTGTTAATTAAATCTTTATATCCAAAAAATTATTAATTAATATATATATAATTAAATTTTAATCAAAAAGAATATTGGTTTTTACCTTATTGATAGTGTTGTAGCTGTTGAAGAAAAGAAGAAATAAATTTAATATAATACATCAAATGCCAATTATTTTCTGACAGGAGAATTAAGATTACCTTGGTGATAGAGAAAAACACGTGATCATCACGTGGGTTGATGAGGAACAATGGAGCTCTCTTTAGATGACTTTTGGGGTGAAGAATATATGAAGATGGATAATTATTATTTATAATCTTTATATTTTTTTTAATGAATAAGTATTAGATATTTTTAATGAATAAATATGAAGTCTTCTGATAAATATAATTATGAATAAATATGACGTCTTCTTTAGATAGATTTAAAAAAAAATATTTATTCCTCTCTATTTTTCTTTCACCTTTTAATTGTTTGCTTTTCAACAGCCCAAAATTTCTAAAAGAAATTCGAGGACAAATATAATGATTTTATTTCTTTTTTTCTGCCATTTTATATTCATTATAAAAATAAATATATATTTATTAAAGAAATCATTAATCTAAAAATAACAATTTTTATATATCTTTTAAATAATAATATATTAAAAGAATGATTGCGCAAAAAAAATTGAAAAAAATATTAATCACAAAAATGACTTTGCTTATCATAAAAAATGATTCCACACTTTACATAAAAAGCGACACACATAACATATATAATCTTACACTTTTTTGAAATCGTGAAGTTTGGTTTAAAAAGTATAACTTAAAGTAACACCACGGATCTATTTGATCATTAAAAAAAATTACATATGAAAATAATTATAGAATGTTCTGTTTTCTCTTTTCCCATATGATTGACAAAATAAAAATATTTGATAATTAAGTTTATTTAAAAAAGTATAATTATAAATATGCGAATATATTCATGTAAATATATTTTTTTTAAAGCGTAAATTTCTTTTCATACTAATGCTTATTTTAATATAAGATTTAAAAATAAATTGGACATGTAAAAAAAATGGTTTTTAGGTAGCAATTAATTGAATTTAAGGCTTACATATAGGATATGGAGTATTTAAGAGATTGCATTATTAAAATATGAAATTATAATTTTTTAAAATCGTATTTTCAAAAAAAAATACCAATTTATATTTTCTTAAAAAAATGAAATATCAGAAGATTTAGAGATAAAAAATCAAATTATCAATTAAAGGAAAACAACAGTAACCAAAAATAAAAATAGTAATATAAATAAATTATTATTTTTAAAAAAATGAATAAAAAATAGCGCAAATGAGAAAGTATAAACTAATAGTAAAATATAATCGTTTAAAATTGTTAAAATAAGATTTTGTAAATGGAGAATAATAAAATTGGACAATAATGTATTGCATATTCAAATTTAATAAGGATTTCAAGAAAAATGAGAGACAATAAAAAAAACAAGGATGAGAAAAAAAATACAAATATTTGCGTATAATTTTTAAATATTAACAGCCGAATAAATATTCTTCCGTTATTTAAAACTAATGTTAAACTTCCTCTTTTTACATATAAATAACATTTTCGCAATTATTAAAGAATAAATTAGTAAAAGTGAAGCCCAAAAAAATGAAAGAAAATAAAGAGCACAAAAAGGTGAGCGCGAAAAGTTTAGCAATATTTCAGTTTTAAGTAAATTTACAAGCAAAATGACAGTTTAAACTGTTTTTTTTAAATAAATTATTTCAAGAGCAAATATTGATAAATAAATATAGCTTAAGTAGGAAAATTTTTTTAAATAAAAAAATAGAAATTTTGAAAAAATTATTATGCTCAATTTTAGCTAAATCTTTATACATGACATGGCGGTTTAAACTCCGCCCCCACTCCTATCAACACTGATGTTATGCGCACTAATTTGGGCGGCTAAGGCAAACCTGTTGCTAGACACAGTTCCCGTCTTCAATCCGTACATCAGCTAAATTAAATATAAGTATTTATTTATAAAAAACATATTTTATATATAATAAAAACGCAGCTTATTTTCATTTTGATTGGCCTTTTCAGTTAGTCTTAAATCCACATGAATCGATTACTGTTTTATATGGCAATCTGTAATGATAATCTTAAAAATATTTTCCTTATTTTCGAAGATATTTAACAAGAATCCCCTATTAGATTAACTTATGCTCCGCAAAATAAAATTGAATATTCCTGATCTTAATCTGTCCTCAATTTTGTTTCCCTTAATATTTTCTCAAACCTAGCAGCCAATTTTTTTTAATATTTTCATAACCGTTTAAAGTTTTCTATCAGAGTCCTGCAGAGATACTATTTGCATGGTCTGACCTGGATTCTTTAAAAAAATCAGAGAGGTACTATTTGTACCGCCATTTGGATTTTTTAAAAAATATTTCGACGGAATTTATTTAAAAAAATTTCCCGGGTTTATAATTTTTAGGTTTGGCCCGGCCCAAATTTTTTAAAAATATATTATATTTATTTTTAATTTTTATAGTTAATAATGACGATTTAATTTAAAAATATTAGGCTTGGCCGGGCGCGGGTATTTAAAAAAAAATTTTTAAGGTTCGGCCAGGGTATATTTAAACAAATTAAAACACGGATCGTTCGGGCTAGGTTTGCAAGTCTCTGCTTTTTATGCATTCAATATATTTTATTTTCAAAAATTAAATCCAAATTTCGTCGTTCGCATTTACTTGTAAAAATTCGCTGAGTTCGATCTGACCATTCTTGTTCAAATCCACCTCGCTAAGCATTTCGTGCAATTGGTCGTAACTGACTGTTTGGCCATGTTTCTAAGAAATAGACGAATTTTATTGATTTTTGGATTGGGGATAAAATATTTAAAATTAATTTTCAGCTTATAATTTCTCTTTATAATCTATGAGACTCTTAATAATATAATTACACTTCTAAACTAGCTTTTGATCAAAAATTGAAAAAAAAGGTACACTTAATAATCAAATAACCATTTAAAGATCGTGAATGCTAAACTGTGACGACACTATTGAGGGGTAAAAAAATATTTGGCAAACTTATATTTAATCATCGTAAACTGATCAAAAATCCCTTATTTCTAATGGTTCAATTCATTTCTCTTAGATCCCCCTAGTGGTACTGATAGTGTGGGCAGCTAGGATTAGGATAAGTAACGTTAAACTGAATCAAAAAAATAATCACTTTTCAACAAGATATCATGAATTACAAAAATGATATTATGATATTTGAATTGAATCATTTAAAAATAAGGTTAATAAAAAATAAAAGCAATTTTGATAATAAATTTTACATTTTATTAAAAATGAAAAAAACAAATTCTTTGCCCTTTCAGCTACAAAAAAAATTAATTCCTCCTTTTCTGTGACATTAAATATTTTAGTATTTTTAAGTCACATTTCACATAGAGTCCCTTTTCAGAAACACCGTTAACATTTTTTTAAAAACATAGAATTTTCGGTATTTGAAATGATTAAAAACCTCCATATATCGGAAATTTAAAAAAAATACTATCAAAAAATGTTTCAAGTTTTTATTCATTCTATTTTTTTTAAAAATACGCGAATGGCATCTCTAACTTATTAATTCATTCAAGGTTCGATAATTAGATTATACATTATAGTAATTTTAACCAGGGCTGTGAACCAGAACTCTCGATATTTTAGTGAACCCAAACCGAAACCCTTTTTTTAAATTTAGGGTTCAGGCTTCAGGGTTCAATAACTTATTTTTTAAATATTAAACTTTTCTTTATTTTAAAAAATATATTAAAAATAACTATATAATATAAAAAATAATCTTACAAATATTGATGCTGACCGTCAAAGATGAAAAAGAAAAATCAAAGGGAAAACTGGCCAACCCTTGGTATACCTGAGCATGGCTATTAAACGGAGAAGAAGATATATATATATATATATAACTATATTGAAATTAAATATAAAAAACATGTAAATAAACATTTTGTGAAAATCGTTCGTCGTGAAATCCTTTCAATAATATTTTAAATTACTCCATTTTATGTAAAAATTTGAAAATTTCACCAGCATATTTTGTAAATTTTTTATTTTTGTAATAGATAATATTATTTATTGCTGTTTGCAAGATTATTAAATTAAAATTAAGATCTAAGAAAAGAACAAAATTATAAGATAAAATCGCTTTATTAAATGCAAGTTGCAATGCACTGTCAAAGTTAGGCATAAATAAATATTTTAATTTTGAAATGTGAATTTTGGAAGATATCAAGAATAAAATTTTAAAAACATATTGAATATTATTATTTGTATTATTCTAATTATAATTTTAAATAATTTTGGTGAATGCTAAATATAGTAAAATAATTTTTTTTTTTAAAACTGATGCTTCTTTTATTTTTACTAAATTTAATTAGTCTTTATTTTTATGGACCACGAACCCTGAACCCGGTTAAGAAATATTTCACTGAACCAGAACTCTTTTTTTCACAGCCCTGATTTTAACACCCTTAATTTGAATATATAAAACAATAAAGTAAAATTTAACGAAATAAAAAGTAAAATATATATTTTATATAAAGGTCATTAGATATTCTAATGTTATATAATTTAATTATTATATTATAATAATTTATTGAAATTAATTTTTTATTATATTTTTATAATTATTATAATTTATTTAAATTTAATCTAATTATTTTAATTCGTATTTAAAATATTATTATTTCTTTTCCACATCTCTAGATATCAAATTCGATAAAATATCTCGATCGAAAATAAAATTTCATTGTTTTATACAAGATATAAGCAAAATTAATATTAATTGAGTTGCACAGCCATTATGTTTTGACTTCCTTCATTAGCCAGTCTTAGTATTTTATCATCATTATATTCTAAATTTAATTCCGGATAATTATTCAAAAGTTTACTCCTCTAGAGCCACTAAGGAATAATGATCTATGATGTGATTTGAAAATATTACAAACAGTGTTGCTCATAATACGAAGTACAAATTCGCATATATGAATTTGAAATATTTTAAAATTATGGGATTACTTAAAAAATGTTTGAATTATGAGAGCCTTTTTTAAAAAATTGAAAAAATTTAAGTATGAATTACCTTCTTTTTTAAAAAAAAATTAAGTAAGAAGTTTTTTTAAAGAAATTTTTTGATGATTAATGATTTTTTTCTCTCTTGTCGTCACAACATCATTAAATAAAAGGCCAAGAAATCTCTTCAAACAAATATATTGAAAAATTTGCGGTATTATCAATAGGGCTATTTTTTTTTATTAAATGAAATATGTGTTAATATTTTTATAATTAAAATCTGTAGAATTTTTTTACATAATCCTTAATTAACTACAATTTTAGCGTTTATAAGACTACTAAGATTAACTGTTTGGGTAGCATAGCATAACATTTAATCCAATAGGATGTTTAAATTTGTATATATTTTATTATGTATAGAACATCAAATTTCATTGTTGAAGGAATTTTAGCATAATTTTTTCTTTAATAATATGATAATATAAAATGGTGAATATACTATAATGGAACATACCTTTTGTTTTTTTTTACTTTATAGTTAACAAAAAGCATATATAAACATCACTTAATTTATAGAAACCGATCTATAATAATACTTATTATAACACATTTATTACAAGGAATTTTTATAATTTATTTACATAGTATATGGAAACTGATCATTATACTAGATTTTACAGTGAAAGGGGGGATATTTTTTACCAGATGTTAAATCAAAATAAAATGATACTATTATATTTTTATTTTAATCATACTTAAACATTAATCTATGTTAAAAAAATATTAAACAACTTTTTTAAATGTCATACTTAAAAAAAATATAAAAAGTTTTGTCATCACATATTTTCTTTTACTTAGTTAACGATATTTTATGTAGAATAATTTTAAATATAATGATAAATATTCATTTAAGTTGTAAGATCTTAGTCAGAATCTTTTATTTCTGAAAATAGTTTTTTTCTCTCACTTTATTTTATCATATTTGAGACATAACTTTAATTTAATATTTTATTCAATTCGTATAATACATATAATTATATATAATAAGAAATATATTCGTAATTACACTAATACATGAATATTAATTAATAAAATATGAAATATTTAATGATAGTTCATAGTCATAAATTGCTTGCTTAAGTAGTACCTATAAATAATAAAAAATGTTAATCGTAATTTATTATATAATTAGATTACTTTGGTCAAGAGGTAGTCCACGATAGCCCAGCTCCAAATAATGTTGCATATGATTATAGAAATTTGTAAAATCATATGGAATAAATTGATTCATTATTTGATTAATATTATTTATTATATGTTCCCTTGTACTTGGTCTGGGAATTAATGACCTGTACTTGTTTTTGAAAACCTCGAAAAAATTTTCAATTGGGTTTAATTGTGGTGAGTATGGGGGAAGATATTCAATTCTCTCTTTATAGTCATCAATTAGATGACTTTTATGTATTGACGCATTGTCCATAACTAATATGGCATCTGGTGGTAATATACTAATAATATCCATTAATGAATTTCGGAATAACATACCATTATATGATCCTTCGATGATTTTATAATGTATAACTCCACAAATTCTTATAGTGCAAAGTACACTTACATTTTTTCCTTTTGAGGATGGCATTATTGATGGTCTAACGTTGAGTGGTGCCCAAGCATAGACAGGTACAACATGAAAATTGATGCCTGTTTCGTCGAGAAAATAGAGTCTTTCTCTGGAGATGTTCAGCAATTTGCGGCAATACACCTGTCGAATATTGATAGCTCCTGGTGTATTCCTGCGATCTGGTTCTTTCCCAGCTCTTTTTTTGGACCATCGGATGTTTTTAATATATTTCCTTATAGTTCCAATATTTTTTGGAGAACCAGAGGGCAAATTCTCAATAGATTATTATTCGAGTTATAATTTTACTTCACCGTTAAGGTATTATTGTCGATTAGCAAATCCATAATTTGCCTTTCAATATTTGCTGTGTCTTTAATTTTTCTCCCCCTTTGTTTAAGCGAGAATTCCTTTAAGGGCTCACCAATAATTTCTGGGAATGTATCCCGTTTTATTTTATGTATTGATGCCTTCGACATATTAACAAATTTAGCAATGTCCTTAACCTTCATCTGTTCTTCCTCTGGCATTGCTAATATTTTCATTACCATTTCAATTTTATCTTTGTTCCAACAATTGTATGTTCTTTTGGGTTTAGGAATGGATGATATTTGAGAATGATTTATATTTTCACTAATAGTTGCTAAAAAATTATTATTTGCAGAAATATTAGAATGTGATTGATAATTTTCCATATCATTCCCATCTGAGATTGGCAAAGAATAATTTACAGAAGTACTTGAGAGTAAAGGAGATGTATTAAAGTTATAAAGAATGTAGTCTATAATAAACATTATAAGATTGAAAATAATATTAAATTAAATATACAAAAATATTAAATTATATAAATGATATGTGAAAAAATATGTTTTTTTTAAAAAGTTTTTTTTTTAAAAAAAGTTGTTTAAATTTTTTTTAACATAGATTAATGTTTAAGTATGATTAAAATAAAAATATAATAGTATCATTTTATTTTGTTTTAACATCTGGTAAAAAATATCCCCCCTTTCACTGTATCTGTAAAACACTTAATAAAATCCTATTATGGTTAGGTTTAGGGTTAGAGAAAAATAAATACAAGTTTTATGTTTATATAAACTTTCAAAAAGGTTCCTAGATCCTTGACCGTTATATATTGCTTGCCTTGGCTCAAATCGGCAAATTTTTGAGTTAATTCCGTCATTTGAGCCGGATCAAAGTCAACGGGAATTTTTTTGGCAAGCACCTCGCTGTAAGCCTTCAGACCCATCTGTTCGAATAAGAATATTCGGGCTGATTCTATCTCTAGCTATTTATATTTTTTAGGTGTATGAGTATAACAAGCATTTTTAACATAATTAATAGTATCAAAAACGGAAATTTTTATCCTTCGCTTTCCATGGCTTACTGCAAATATAATATAACTCTTCAAATTCTAGCAATGTTTAAGAAAGTTTGCAATAAATAGGAATAACACTATTTATATGTCTATTTTTTCCCTTAATTTCTTGCAAACATTTTTTTAAAATATTTTATCCAATGTTAATGCTCTTTATTCTTACCTCCACCTTTTTTTTGTTCCAACCCAATTCTCCCGCCATCAATTCCGCTATGAAAGGCAAAGCATGTTCGCAGGCGGAAGCATTGAGGAAAGCGAAGCGAGAACGTCTTGCGATAACGTCTACGAGGGTACAGGCGTATTCTTTGCAAGCGTATTTAACCTTTTACGTGCGTTATAAATTAAAAATTTTAATTAGAAATTTATGTTAATTTCGTTATATTAAGAATCTCCCAAATACATGTGGAAATGTAATAAAAGGATTAAAAAATTATCTCCCCCCCCCCAATTAAGAAAGATAATCAATGATATCAGAATATCCTTTCTGGATTTAATTTAATACCAATGTGGAGTTATTATTTGTAAAAAATTTTAAAAAAATTGACCTTTTTCTTATTGTAATGTCAAGATAAGATACGTAGGTTAAGAAGTAAAATCTAGAGTGATAGTTGTTTTTTATTTGATTTCATTATAAGCTATACTAAACTACATAAAAATTTCAAAAAAACCTGAACTCCTTTAAATAAAAATGCATTTAGGAAAAACATACTTAAAATTTAAAAATAAAACATTCAAAATAGAAAAAAATTTCTGCGAAATCTTGCATTTCTTCTGATAAATTTAAATTTTTACGTAGCAAAATCTCATTAAGAAAAAAATTCTGAATGTTTCAGTTTATATAATTGAAATAATGAGTATTCCGCCAGAGCATAAAGGCCGAACCGTAACTTTAAAAAAAACCCGGACTAGGTTTTAATTTTTTTAATAAACTCGGGTTGAGCCTAAAGATATTTATACAAAACCAAGGCTGAGTTAAATTTTTTTCTTATATTATATGAATTAATCAGTTAGAAAATGTTATAACGGAACTTTTAATATTATATATATATATATATGTATATACTGCTCAAATTTTAAATTTTCTTCTTGGAGCAATTTTTAAAATAGTCACAATTATAAAAATTCCGGGCTCGACCATAAAATTATTAAAAAAATCCGAGCGTTTTGACACGACACCTCAGCGAGTCTTTGATTTATTTATTAACGAAATGGAATTATTACCACGAAACACAGAAGCTATATTGCCTCAATAAAAAGGATTAACATTGAACAATTTTTAATAACAAAAAAAGGCTAGGTGCACAAAACCTGAACATAAACAGGTAATTAAAGTTGGTTGCAATCAAATATGACACTGAATTCTGTTACACCGCTATTAATTATGCTTTTTTTGTATATTTCTTTATTTTTTTTACTTTTTTCAACCAGTCCTTACATAAATAAAAGGAGCATTTTTACCTCAGCCTCTATGTAAGGGAATTCTTGATGCAATCTTTTACCTAAGACAGGCCATTTGAGCCCTGTAACTTGTGCGAGCCTGAGAACGGAAAAAGCGGCGTCCCCATATGTATCGGCCAAATGTCGAGCAACCTGAAAAGAATTTAAATAAAGATATAAAATATTGATAAAGGGTAATATATAAAAGCATAAAAATCTGGCTAAATTGGCTACCCAAAATATAAATTTTTTAAAATAGGAGAATTATGTGTTAGCCAAATGTGGAGCTAATAAAAAATAGTAGGTGTTAGACAAATTTAGGATTTCTAAAGAGGAAGTTATGACAAAATTTATATTTAAAAAAAGGGATAAAAATATAATATCTTATATGTGACCAAATGTTACTCTAAAAAAGGAAAAATATTAGTATAATTTTTTTTTAAAAAAATATGTACTGACTAATTGAGTCGATCTATCTGAAAATTTTTTTATAAATTTTTATGGAAAAAAAGTATAAATTGATTTGAATGTCCACTTTAAGAAAGGTCTAACAATTTACGAGTAGATTTTGCAAAATTTATAGAAAATCAAATGAAATGTGAGTTTGGGAAAAATCTGAACTTTATTTTAAATATTTTTTTGATTATCCATAATAAAATGGTCATACACTCAAAGCAAGGAAAACATAAAAACAAAAAAAAGTTGCTATTAGACCTATGCAAATGGAAACCTAACTTTTATGAGAATTTAACTAAAACAGCTGATCTTAACCTAATTTTTCATATTATGAGGTTCGAATAGATATAAAATAGATGAACCTCTGTTTGAATTCCGAAATCTTGAACTAACTGAATGAACAGAGTTGGGGTATATTTGTGAGCCCCATCTAGGAGAAGACCACTGGTTATGCATGGGCCGGCAAAATTCTTGAATTCGGGAAATGTTTTAAGGGCTATGTCGACTGTTTCTTCAGCCATTCTTCGGTATGTTGTCCATTTTCCGCCTTTCATTTGCGTTTAATGTATAAATGATGTAAGGATGGATAGTTAACATTCTCCAAAAAAAAGTAATCAATTAAACTAAAGCAACGGATAAACTGTAAAGGTTTGAAACCAATCAGATATATCACTTCACATTAGTTAATAAAATAAAAATAAAATGAATCAACCAGCTATGGTAATGAGTTTAGCAGGGGAAACATGAATGATGTGATTTCGAGCTATATTTTCGGTATTCTTGAGATCGTTGGGATCGCTAACAAGCGGCCGAATTCCGCTCCAAGCAGAGGTAACGTCTCCTCTCCTAACTTAAAAATCAAAGATCAATTCAAAAACATAAAGAATAGAAATTAAACCTTGCAGTTCCGGTGTTAAATAATTCCTGACTTCCTTGAGGATGAACTCGATCTCGGATTCGGTTGGGATAGGGCTGTGAGTCACCTTACATTTTACATCAGTCGTGCCTTTCAATATAAAAAATAAATAAATCCAGAGAATCAAATAATATTCTTTTATTAAATTCTCCTTTTTCGTAATTGCATTTCAAATAGAAATAAAAAAGGACACCTTAGGAGACATCCAAATCAAACTAAATTTTTGGAAAATTGTTTTGTAAGATATGTTTGAAATGATTATTGCTATTGAAATTTTATTGCTCTAGTAGTTCAGGAGATATGAGCGTTTAAAGCGTAAAAAGTGACGCGTTTTTAAATTTTGCAATAAACCAAAAAAATAATAAAGATTACTCAAACAATATGAATGATAGATTTGGTTTCCTTAAATGCCCTTTAAAACAACCAAAATTTGAGCAAAAACCTTTGAAGATGAAAAAAAAATTTAAAAGCAATTTTTAAAAAAAAGATTAAGATATTTTTTAAAAAAATTTTTTAAATATCAAATGATTCTTAAAGATTCATAAAAATAATCATTATTTAAAAACTCTTTCATTTTATTTTGATCTTTGATATTAAAGTCCTCTATTTAAAAAAACTCGATAAAAAAAAGTAAAGACTACTTTTTTAGTACCAACGATGGGCTCAAATTGGTTAAAAATTTTGTATATAAACTCATTAAAGTAGGATAAATTTGTGATAAAATAATTCGATGAGGCAATTTTTTTTATATTTATTCTAATTTTCTATAAATAAATTATATGGATCAATATAGTGCGCACAAATTTAGCGTCTGACTTTTTAAATACATCCCTTTTTATTAGTATCATCGATTCTAAATTTCAACTAAGGTCTCATCTATAGTAAACGCGTTATATTTAAACGGTACGTTATTTACAAAATCAAGCCAATAAATAAGTATAATTTATAAATATGAAGCGTTATGACGATAACGTTATGATAAAATTTAAAAAACATATGTTGCGAGATTAACGATATGAATAATCAGCTGTGGTTTTGATAACGTTAAATATCGTAATGCTTGAACATAACACGTTTTTCATAAATGAACCCCAAGTAATTAAAAAAATCTATTGATTTTTGTGAATAATATTATCGCCTGCCTTTTTATTTAGTTAAGAAGTTTTATTTTTCCATTTTTATTTAATATTACATTTAATTTATATATAATCAAACAAAAATGAGATTTTTTAGTGTCCTCCCTCTTAATATTCCCATCTGAGTAACGAGGTTTTGTCGGCTTTCTTGCGAAAAAAAATCAAGTTCTGTGGTAAACCAACGTGCAAAACAAACGAAAGAGTATTGAAAAAAACATGCCAGTTTGCGTTTTTTAAAATGGTTTCTAACGCCAACCAAGCAATAGTTTGACCAATTTGCATGATATCATATGCAACGTAGTGTTTAACAATTTGAGCATAACTCGATTTTATTCAAATTTAAATGGTAGTGAGCAACGCTCATAATAAGAGGCCCTCCAAACTAGCCCGAAAATTTATAAGAAATCATATTTCGGCACATATTCTATAATTATTATATAGAATATGTATATAAATAATTATATTATTCAGAATGCCAGCTTATAAAATTTCAGTTACTAAAAAAAAATTGCTAAAATTTTGGATAATTTTAAGCGGCATTTAATCAAGATTTCAAAAGAAAATCATCGATTCGAGAAGTGGTATAAATACATATTCATTAATAAAATTATATATTTATTTTTATTCGAATAAGCCCGAATTTTAAAAATCAACCATTTTACAAACCAACATGCTGGTCGGTGGGTCGATAAATAAAATTGATCTAGGCCGGAAAAAATTCTTTTATTTTCGGGCAAGGGTGGGCCTGGTATCTGAAGCGCTACAAGTCAATGATATCTGAGCAGAAATCGATTTATTTATATTTCACTGGAGTTATCTAGAATATAATATTTCATCGACAAAAGATTGGAAAAAAATAAAATAACTATAAAACGAATTCTTACCTCAATTTTTTGAATTTGTCGCCGGTACATAAAAAAATCGACCCTTACCTTTTGCGGAAGTGATAAAATACTGATAGTTATTCTTCAAATTTATTTATATCTAATAATACGAAATATTGGTTTATTATCGTTATATATTTTTCGAGTAATCTTATGTGTTTTGCAAAAAATGAGTAAAGAGTCAATATTACATTTTACCCTGCATTCATAGTTAGTACGAATTCGCGGCGTATATAATATATGCTGTATTTTTGTATACTTCGTCGCGAATTCGTGTTACCTGTAGGAGAAATAAAATTTCGATTGCAATAACCCTCACAACATACCTAACCATCGTAAAAAATTATAATTTGATTTGAAAGATCTCGCTCAAAACTATTGTGATTTCACGTGGAATAACAATTATTTTTTAAAAAAAAATTTGTGGTATACGTCAAATGTTCGTAATTTTGAGAATTCGGCATATTTTCCGAGAACCTAAATGTTTTGGAAGCCGAAATGTATTCTGAATAATTTTCAAAGATTTGTATTATTTCGCTCAGAAAAAAATTATAACAATCTGCTCAGAATTAAAATACTTAGGCTTTGTCCTGGTTTTATTTAAGATATTTATTGCAGTTTAGTCTAAACGGCTTTTGAACAAGAATCCTATTTTGGGTTGTTTTAGACATTTGTTGCTATTGCCATTTTTTATTTTTTTTATCGTTTTTCCCTTTTTTTGTTATTTTTTTTCGTTTCTCCGTTTTTTCTTCTTATACTTTTTAGGCAGTTTAGTAATAAGTAGAATCAGGACATACCCTTTAAGCTAAGAATTTTTACTGAATTTCAGATATTTTTCATAAAATTGAAGACGATTTACTGAATGTTTCAGTATTATACCTGAGCAATCAATATTTTTTGTGTTAAGTTTTTTTTATATGAGCATTAAGAAATAATTCTGAGCATTCAATATATTTTCCAAGCGTTAAATATTTAATCTGAATAAATTATAGTTTGTCAAAAATATGAAACTTGCTTGCGGAACTGTCCAGGGTCCTGATTTAAGGCAATTGTTTTTTATTATTATTATCTTAAAAATGTGTATTTTAAAATTCATTTTAAAAAAAAATAGAAACTGATAATACAACAAAATTATTTTTAATTTATTCTTTAAGATCCATCATAATGTGACCACATCAGAAACATAACCTTAAATTTGTCAAGAATAAAAAAAAGGTAGAGTGGATAAAATTTTTATAAATGTTATAAATCGACTTTATACCGAGAATAAATGTAAGCAATATTAATGATAAACAACCTGCAATAGTCATATGTTCCCAGGGGAGAAAAAAAATGACGCGTCCATCGCTTGTGGCTGGATCTAATAGCCCCATTTTTTCAGGACTATTAATAAATAAAATATATTATAAGAGATTTTTGAAAAATATTTAATGCCTTTCATTTTTATTCCATTAAAAAGGACCTGTAATAATCGGGTAAAACAATGTGGACTCCTGAGGACGGGCTGCAAATAGGCTTGATGTCAGGTTGATCCATTTGTCTTATGGAGTCCGTAAAAGGCCCAGTGGCGTTAACCACGCATTTAGCCTTCACTTCCCATTCCTTGCCTGTAAGCGTAAGAAGAAAGGAAATAAATAAAAGAAAAACATATATTTCAAAAAATACAATTTAATAAAGAAAAATATAAAGGAAGAAAGAATAATGCACAATCATTCATTCATTTCACCCGTCAAATTATCCTTAAGCTTGACCCCAGAAATCACTTGATTTCCAGTTGCAACATGAATACCGGAATCGAAATGCACTTCCGGCGCTTTAATTATTTCCGTAACTGTAACGTGATTGGCTACGGTTGCTCCGTACCGAACTGCGGTTAAGGCTATTGCTAAGTTCATGCGGGCGTCGTTGTGCTGACCTGGATTGCAAAGAATGAGATAAATAAGTGAATTATTAAAGTACCTTATTAAAATGGTTTGGAAAGAGCGAATAAAAAATCAGAGTTGTTAAAAAATACTTTTTAAATGGATCTAGATATAGATACATAGTCTAAAAAGTTATCTAGATCCAAATACATCATCTAAAAAGTTATCTTGATACAGATACAATTTTTTAATACTCTTATATAAGCTTTGCATAAACCTAAATTAGAATTTGAAGTACTTTGCGATCGGGTCATGATATTTTATTAATAAAAATTCCAAAATTATTTTTAAACATAAAAAAGATTAATAAAGATTTACAAAATTATTTTACAGGAAAAAATAAAGTATCCCAACTATAAAAAATTCGTCCCTTTTATAGGGAAAATAAAAGGCGCAATTATAAATTAAAATTAAATTGGCGCAAAGTGAAAAAAAGAACGTTTTTGTGGAATCGAGTTGTGTTAGTTTTATCGTACATAATTGGGGATAAAACCTACCCCCTTAGACTTCCCGAAACTCAAAATATACCTTGGGATGCAGGGTGGTCTCCCGGACCCAACGGTCTAACTCATATTTTCGGATCACCTTACTAAGGACTCCTAAAGTAAGAAATCCAGTAAAGTGAGAGAAAACACAAAAGCCATATGTGTTAATCTCACTGTGTTTAACTTAAAATAAAAATTACCAAAAAAAAGAAAAACATTTTTTAACTTTCATTTTATGGCACACAAAGGAGATGGATAAAAAAAAACTTTAATTAATTTTAACATAAACAAAAGAAGGGGATAAAAAACTTTTACATCTTACACATAATAAAAGAGGGGGATAAAAAAACTTTTTTATCTTTAACATAATAAAAGAGGGGGTTTAAAGAAAAACTTTTTTTTTATCTTTAACAGAATTCTATTGTGAAAATGTATGAAATAAGCTAAAACTTTATTGACTAGATATTACATTTATCAAAATTAAAATAATGATTTTTAGATTTTAATATAATAATATAATATATGGAATGAAATGAATAAATGATTATAAATAATTATTAGATTGTAATAAAATATTTTTAAAATTTTGGTCATTAAGTCATACTCGTTAATCCGTAAAGACATTTTTAGTTACACTAAAAAGCCTTTCTACCGGGGCACTTGAAGGGATTGTGGTGTTATATTTTATGAATAATAATTTTATATCAGGATATTCTTTAAAAATATTAAAATCTGGGCATTCATTTTCGAAAAAATTATTTAAAATTTGTTGAGTATCAAAATTTAAATCATTATTAACAATCATATCTGCTGCTGTGGGGTACTGAAAAAAATAGGATATAAATTAATTGTTTTTTTTTGCAGGTTATTTGTTTGCAATCAGTTGAAGACTTTGTTAATTCATCAACTAATCTTTGTATTAATTATTTTTTACATTAACATGATTTTTTCTCTTAAAATTGAAAATTACAATTGTAAACATTAAGTCTCTATACCCTTAAATGTTATACAATGTTGCAAGTTGAGTTAATGCTAACTGAAATTTTGGTATTTTTTTGTAGATATGGCAAACATTTTACTATCAGAGATTTGTTTTTTTTATTTTGAGATATTATTTTAAAATATTCTCTATAAATTGGCCATGAAAACAATGTCTGAACTTGTTGATACTTCATTGATTATTACTTCTTTCTCTTCCTCTTCATCACTATTAATATTAATCTTAAAATTAGTATAATAAAATAAAATTAACTAATTCCATTGAAAATTAAAAATGGCAGATTTCTTGAGTTGCATTGTAATATCAAATTTTGTCTGGTTTATTGATAAACTCTGACATAATATTTAATGAATATTTATATATCTATTTTTTATATATTTTAATATTTTATATATTTTAATATTATATATATATATATTTTTATTATAGTAGTCTTAATATTTTTTAATATATATATATATTTAAATTATATGCTCATATGAAATAAAATAAATTTTGCATTCAAGTATTTTTGTTTATAATATAAAAAATAAAAGTATCAAAATGTATCTTGAAAAGTATCTAAAAACAGATACAGATATGTCTAAAATAATATCTAGATACAGATATTTTAATCAAAAATCTATCTAGATACAGATACCACATTTTTATATCTAGATACTTTAACAACTCTCAAAAATAATACAAGATAAAAAGAGAGAGAAGAAATCTATAGCAACCATTTTGCTATAGGATCTTAAATTAATATAAAATTCACATTTTTCTACTAAAATTTCCCATAATTTTCATTCCTTTTAATCTCATTTTTCTTACTGGTTTAAATGTGTGGCTTCTAAAACGTAAAAAATGAATAAATAACAATTTTAACAGTAAAATGTATGTTTTCATAGCCTGCAAATGAAAATTAGAGGAATTTAATATAAAAAACACTGAAATTTATTAATTATAAGATATTCGGTTCTTGTATTATAGCAGACTCCGGTAGGAACCGGGTAGTAAAATAGTGCTATTTTAAAATCCGGGTAGAGTCATATATAAAATAAATTATACTAGTAGTCAGCTGAAATCAGATGATGGATCATTTCAGTTTACCTTTGCAATTATTGACGAAATAATCATAATTATTTTAAATAGATTATATTTTGACATCAGTGAAATTTTTTTTTTAAATTCAAGATAGCCCTTAAAAATGTAACCTCTGAAATATATAAACATATTATACCGTCGTAATACACTATAGCTCCTTTAAGTTCGTCCTTTTTAAGCATGGGGAACAACGACAAAGCTCTTCGCTTACCGATTATATAAGAGGGTTGCAAACATTCTCTCCCGGCCACCCAGTCGTACATTTTTATACCGGCGTAGAAGTATGGTAGCTGCCACCATCTGGGGATGATATAATATTTGAAATTTTATGTAGTTTTTTATGGAACACTTTTTTTTATTAGTAATATATTCGTTTAACCAATAATGATAGGATATAGAATTATATATTAGCGAATACTTTGGTTCCCATTCTTAATAGCTATAATAAAAATCGTTAAAAATTGGAAATCTCGTTTATATCTCCTAAAATTTTAAAAGCGATATTAAAAATGATTATAATAGATGGTAGGGAAGTAGACTCCTATATTTCAATTGAGTTTTTAAAAAAATCGCCATAGAGAAAATATCATCTAGATTTCCAAATAAGATTCCCAAATTTGGAATCTTTAAGATATTTCCCCCGTTATTAGTGATTTCTTTAAGAAACTCAATTTAAATATAATTGTTTAATTCACTGGCATCTATTAATATCATTTCAATATTGCTTTTAAAAAATTTCTAGATGCAAGATTCTTATTTTTTTAGGGTTTTTTGTTTTAGCGATTAAGAACATATCCCAATATTTTTCGTTTTTTATTATAATTAACTTAGAACTTACTGTATTATTATTTATCGTGCGTAATATTACTGTTTTGTATAGTTGGGTAATTGTTCTATTTTTTATTCGAAGTTAATGCTAAAACTCACCGCTTTTGAAATGGCGATTTCCTAAACAACAGCTAAATTTTTATTAAAATACAATATCTAATCTACGAATAAGTGAATGAGTGCGACCGAGTGAGTGAAGAAAATGTGAAAATAGATCAAACTTTATCATTTTATAAAAAAAGGATAATTAAAAAAAAATTAATGATGAAAAATTTAATGGATGGCATTTTGTATAACACGCATTTGTTTTTTAAACCGTCAAAAAGAGTTTATAAATCGAAGGCTAAAAACAAAATAATATTTTAATTTTCAAGTTTTATTTCAATCTTTATATTTTTTTTCTTTCTTCCTTATTCTTTATTTTCTTTTCCTTCCCATCCTTACCTCCTTTTTATTTTTAACTTTTATAAAAATGTAATTTTTTTTAACTAAGGGCATTTGTATTTTAATACATTATCGCTTTATAAATAAAAACAGCATTGGACATAGAGGTAAATAATAATAATATAACTTGTAAACGGGCAACATAATCGGTAAAGAGTTCGACAAATGAGGCGCGATTTTAAGTAAATTAGCTCTTTCGCTAAGAGCCTCTTTCACCATGCGATACTAGTGTTTAAAAAAAAAAAATTTCTTATGGATATTACTCTCTTTTTTAAATATAAATTTTTGAATAATTTAGATTGTTCTAATAAGTGATGCTTTATACCCTCGTTAATTCTTTTCACTTATCTATTTTAAAAAAAAAATTCCTTCTTTTGTCTTTTCTTAAATTATAGGAGTAGGTGTAATAATTCATATTTACAAAAATGTAAAATTTCAATTTATTACTTGATCGATATCTAAATGCATGATGGCTTTTTGTAGATATCTGACACCACCATGGATCAATTTAGTGCTTCTACTGGAAGTGCCAGCAGAAAAATCGTCACACTCCACTAAGGCTGTTTTAAAACCTTAAATATGTTTAAATGAAGAATAGAGCTCATATTTGATTTTCCATTTCATATTAATCTCTCATTTAGTTGTATTCATATTCACTTATTTCATAATATTTCCTTCTATTTCAATTTTAAGTCTTTTTTATTTAGTATCCTTCTGAACATTTATACCTTTTTCATTTTCTTTAAAAAAATTGTTAAAACTAAAATGGAAATAGTTTTTTTTTTATTAATTTCTTAAGAAAATTTTTGATGTCCTTTTTCTCAGTTAAATTAAGTCTGCACTTTCCTTATACTTTCCTCCTATTCATTTTGTTTTTAATTATAATTAATACTAAACTTAAGCTTTAAATTTTATTAAGAAGAATTCCTTACTTTTCTATTATTATGTAGTTTATTTTATAATATAATATTTAAAAATTTTTCCCTTTTATTAACCTCTTGTGACTGCATCAAGTGCTACACCACAACCAGTAGCTCCACCTCCAATAATCAATATATCAAATGATTCCTTCTGCAAAGAATTTAATTGATCTTCCCTACTTGGATATCTTCTAGGTGGAATAGGAGGGATTCTTGCTTTATCCATTAAAACTTTGCTATCACATGATGTATTTGGCATGAATAAATTCTGAAATATTTGAAAAAATTTATAAAAGAGAGATTTAATTGAAATTTATAATTGTAAAATAGAGATTTAATTAAGATTGATAAATATATTATAATGTTAAATAAAAGAGAAGATTGAAAGGATTTTTTTTCTGGTGCAAAAAATGAATTGAGAATTCAATGGAACAACAAGATTAACTTTATGTATACCAAAAGATGAGATGAACAAAATCAAAGGACAATTACAATTTCAATTTATTCATACTAACATCCACATTGAATTTATTTATTTAGCATATATATTTAAAATTATAATCAGCCATCACCCTATACCCAGTAAAATAATTAAATTTATATGCAGCTCCTGGGTATAGGCTTTCTCTTTGCCCAGCTATTTTTTTATTCCAGCCTATAGATGTTTAAATGATGGTTGTGAGGATTACGTACACAAGGACATGTGATGTGCCCACAAATGTATAGAGGACTCCTTATTTATAATTCCCATCCAACTTAATTTACTCCAGTTATATAGAAATGAGGAATGAAACATAATTCTATCGAACCTTTGACAATAGAGGGCAAAGTGATTTAAATCATATATGAGGTAAATAAAAGACACCATAATTAAAATGTACATATTTTTTAAAAATGAGCTAATAAGATAATATAAATTTAATAGTTAGTTGAATAATAAAAAGGTTAATAAGGTTTGATGTAGACTAAGGGTAGTTTACTTGAAATTGCTATATAAGGTCCACTATTTTATTTAATGCTTAAATTTAAAAGTACATAAAAAATTTATTACACATAATCACAATCTACTGTAAAATACAATATTTAATAAATTATTTAAGTTTTATAAAATTATAAGTTTCTACCTGAAATTGTGGTTTTACATTTATATAAACCAAATATGTAAATGCCGTTCCTGATGATCCAATTAAAACATTTTTAAGAAAGCTCTTACTGAATATTGTGTATTTCATGCTCTTTAAAGATTATTTTTTCATTAAATTATTAAAAATATTTTAAAAAATATTGGCTACATATAAAATAAATAAATAAAGTTATGTAAAGTGCTAATCTATTATAGTTTATAATATAAAAATTCGAACTGTGCATTGCAGATAAAAAAAAATGAATGAAGATTGGAAAAATTACAACATATGAAAATAAGTTTCAGCGATAGCTAATCATTACCTAGGTATCCACCCTGAGTAAATAACTAACTTTTATTTAAAATAAAGAGGTTAGTGTTGTTTAGGAATTTCTTAGAGATAGGTTTAAAATTTTATTTCTTATATAGATCCATTTTGTGAGCGTATTGTCAACATTCACTTGTGATCTAGGGTCTAGTTGAATAAAATATATTTTTGTTTTGTGATATAATTTGCTCAATGAAATGTTAATAATTGCTATTATCTTTAATGCATTTTTAATTAATACGAATACATATTATTTTTGGAGTTGTTTTATATTTTGAATATTAAAACTGATTTGGTTAAAAATAATATTTATTTTTATAAACCTTTTATTGAAACGTTTAATTGGCAACGATTAAGGCAAAGAGACGAAGGATATCTATGCCTAACGAAGATAGTTCTTAAGAAAGGCAAAGAATCATCAACGTCTAGTCAAATTTTGATTGAAGACGATGGATTCCCAATTACTAGAAAGTGGGCCCTGATATGCTGTCAAAAAGGTAAAACGTAGTATTTCTTAAATCTGTGCCAGCATTTTATCAGTTTTTTATATTTCAAAATTCTGAAAATCGAAAGTTAACATTCAGGACTAAGTATATTATTTAGAACATACCTTTAATGTAAAAATATCTTTGATCATAAATTAGCTCACATCGGTACCTAATATTAATTAATATTAAGAACTTCATTATCCGAATAATTAGCATAGCAAAAATATCTACAGAATTTTCCTACATCAATATAATTTTTATACCATAAAAAGTCGTGGAAAAACGATTTTAAGATCCTTCGGTCAAAATGTGCCAAAGTCGATATCGCTTTTAAAGATTCCGTTCGTCGCAATCGCTCTTTCTTCCTTGAAAAAGGAAATCAAGGAAGAAGTTAAAAAATTAATACATAAGCTGACGCATGATTCTAAAACGTATTTTAGGAATAATAGTTATAATAACCTTAATAAATTCAATATTAATAAATTTTTATTATTAAATATTTATATGTAAATTTAGCCAGGAGACGATACGAAATATAAAGAGGGAAAATAGCTACCAGATTCTTGAAAGTAGGCCAATAGTGAAAATGGGCTATACATTTATACAGCGGAAATTTTATTATAAATAAATCCCTATAATTTCTAGGTTATTACAAATTAATAAAGATTTGTTGTGTAACAAAAAATAAATATACAAAAAATAATTTTTTTTTAATATGGACTATAAAAAAATATATAATCATTTTGAATTTTAATAGATTTTTTTGGTAAATTTTGCAGACGCTTTTAAACCCAAACACCAGTGCAGTTATTTTGAATGTCTTTTTCATCTGTTTTTTTAAAAAAAAATTAATTATAATTAATATCTTAAACTAATTAGTGTCGTTCGTAAAACTTAATAAGTACCTTTTCTTAGAATATAAAAATTGATAAATTGTCACATTACAATAGCGATGTTTACAGCTTCTATTATATAATTAAACAAAACAAATTTTTCTTTCAAATTATACTTACAATAAATCGAATATTAGCATTCTTTGTATTTTCTAATAGAATAATACATTATTCGTATATCGATTAATTCCTATTCGTATTCGTACGAACAATAAGATGTGGAAATATTTTTAGCATAAATACTTCTAAATAATTTTAAATATTTATAAATAATTTTGAATATTTATAAAAAATATGTTGTATTCCATATCAAAACAACTGAAGATTCAACCCGACACCTTTCGATTTTTTTTAAAATTTATGTGATGCTAGTATAAACATTAACTAGTAAAAATTTATATTCTTGCTTGTATTATTTGTATCAACATTTTTATTATGGTGGAAAGTTAATAGCATTATGACATCCTTTTCTTTCTTTGGATATGATAATAATGTTATTTTTTCATATCCAACTCAAATATATGAAAAATGATATTACATTTTAAATAATTTTATTATATTTAATTTCAGAATATGTGAAAATCATAATAAATGATAAAAATAATTTGAAAAATGAGATAATTATAAAAAATTTACAAAAAAATCACATATTTATTCTGGTGGGGTCTCATAAACCACAATCAGTCACAAAATGTTTATATCTTAAAAACTATTCAGCAAAAATATATGAAATATGGAATGATTCTAAGATATATTTGATGAAGCTACTGAAGATTCCAGATCATAATAATAAACCGTTTGTATATAATATCAATTCTAGCAAGCCTGGGGTCTCATATATCCCACCCGAGTATTGAAGGGTTAATAAAACAATATAATACATTAAATAATCGAATGAATTAGAATAAAATTTGACTTTCATTTTTCCTTCCATTGGAATAAATAAATGCATAATATTTTTGTGTCACGATATTCGTTTAAAAATCTAGTTTGGAGATTGGTTTCCATTCCTGAATATTCAATGTTGCTGACAAATATATATTTAATCTCCGGGATATTAATTTTCGCATAATTATATAAATCCATAGGTGTTAGTATATGATTTTACATGAACGTTGCAAACTTGCTCTAGGCGCTAATCTCTTAGTAATTCTCTCCAAACTATCGCAAAAGTTTAGCCATGTGCAGTTGCAAAAAAATGCCATTCTGCCTTTATCTGAAATTATTATAATGGCTGTTTGGGATTTTATTCGATTTTTATGTGGGCTGAAGAGATTGTCGAGCTAACTTTTTATTATCATAGTTATTACTTTTTAAAAATCATATCATTTATCCCTTATAATGCTTCCAAATTAAGGCGTTTTGCTTTAAAGCATCCGATTTTTTAGGATTAAGATTTAATGCTATTATTCACATATATTGCCCACTTCTTTAAAAAAATAAATTACTATATATTTGGTATAATATAGGATTTAAGTCATACTACTTATAATTAAAGTGTAATAACTCTTGGCCCAGTACTTGTCCCAGTCTATGATTTTTTACAAATATTAGAAAGTATAAGGTCTATCTGTAAAAAATTTAAAAGAAAAAAAAAGAACAATTTTTATTTTAATGCCAAGATATTTTAAATTTTCGCGTTTCTAAAGATAGCCGTATATCATGAAGTAGGTCGATTTGAAAAGTAAAATTTACATCTTTATTTGTTAGTGTAGTAGGCAGGGATGCGAACCCGACAAAATTTTTGCCCGGGTTCGGTTCGGCTTAGGTTCAAGGTATAAAAAAAAGGTGGGTTCGGTTCGGGTTCGGTTCAGGGAAATATTTTTGAACCCGGGTTTGGTTCGGGTTCGGTTCGGGTTCAAGAATTTTTGAGTTGATAAAAAAAATTCTATATTTAAATCATAATAAAAAACTAGACATAAATTTGATATAAAAAATAAAAAAATTTTTTATTTATAGGCAAATATAGTTAAAAATACAAAGCATATAGTCATGTATCAATTTTAAAAATTTTATTAAGACGTATTAGCATAATATCTTCCAAGAGTTGTTCACTCATCCTCGATCTATGTGGTGAAAGAATGAATTTCAAATGTGAAAAAGATCTTTCAACGCTAACCTATGTTAAATGTATTTATATGTGAAAATATGATAAATTAACTTGGGTTGCAGGAACAGCAAATAAGATTTTAGATAAAATATATAATTAAGGGTGTTCCAGCTTAGCAGACTCCCAAAATGCAAAATATTTTCCTTCTTATCTAATCTTTTATAATCGCTAAATCCAGTAATTATTGTTCAATACTTTTCTCAGCAATCGTTGGCCCTCTTTTAAGTATTTTCTCCTGCCTTTCTTTAAGTTGTATCAATTTCTCTAAATCATCTTCTTGTTCAATAACTTCATCGGAACTTATATCATCAGATAAAATCGGCGTTGTTAAGCTTTTAATTCGTCTCCATAAATTGACAAGATGCCTTTTCGCACAAATCTTATCATCATCACTTAGTAATACCTGTAATATTTAAGGATTTTTATTGTTTATATTTAAATATTCCATAAAATAACAATTTTAATATAAATCTAAAATAATTAATTTACTAAGCTTTTAATTAACCTTGTATCTTGGGTCCAGGTATATGGCAGCTAAGAGAATTTCGTTCTTTATAAACCTTTCTTCTCTGTTCTTAAGACAAGAATATAGTAATTGAGCAAAATGGTTTGGATTTTTTTCCAGTTCGATGCAGCATCTTAACCATGCTGCATAAAAATCTGTCAGTGTTAACTGTTCAGATTGGAATTGTTTGGTTGCGATTTTTAGCGGTTTTAAAATTTCAACAATCGTTATTATCTCTTTCCAATCTTCAGTCAATAAATAATCAGATTGCTCTGAAAAAAATCTTCGATATTGGGTTTTAGTAAAATCAGCCTTTCTAACATATCATGGGTTGAATGCCATCTGTGGCAATCTAACACAGGCTTAGGGAGTTACATATTTTTTAATAACTTTTGGTAAGTGGGATGTCTTAATTTTAAATTTAGGCTCCTAGCTTTTGCAATGGTTTCCACAATAGGTGATAATTCTATAGCATCTTGAAGTGCCAGCTGAAGTGTGTGAGCTGCACACCGTACACTATATATCGGATAGGATATAATAGTTGATAAAAAAGTATTTTGTATATCATCAATATCATATTTATATACATTTACATCCATATTTTCCTCATCTGCTGATTCACTTCTTATATCATAATCAGTTTCAGGTTGCAGGAGCTTTATAGCTCTTAAAAAATTACAACCATTATCAGAAGTAATTGTGTATATTTGTTCAATATTAATTTTAAATTTTAGTAAAATTTTTAATATATTCTCTTTTATATATTCTCCTGTACATCTCTCTTTCAGCTCTACAATTCCAAGAGTCCTCAAATTTATAATGGACTTTGATATAAATTGAATATTTACACCAAGAATTGACCTATCTAGTCGTTGAACTGCATCAACTTTTAAGCTTATTAATTTTCCTTCTACCTCTCTCGATATTTTGTCTCGAATTGATTGGGCTGTTTTATTAATAGTTCTGAATAAATTTTCTTTGTTTATAACTAAATTGAGCCCAGATAGGAGTGGATTTATAATTCTTTGAAATCCCGAATCTTCAATAATTGATAAAGGCCCGCCATTTACAGTAACAAGTTTTAGTATAGAACTCATCAAATCATTAGATGATATATTTATACTTATATGCTTTTTTGGAAAAAAGGTTTCTATATTAATTTTAGGTTTTTTTGCCAAAAACAATTCCTGATATTTGGTTTTTTCATTTAAATAATTTAAATATTCATTGTTGTGATTTCTTTCCAGGTGTCTTTCTAAATTTGACAAGTGATTACCAGACATTTTTACTTTGCAATATGAACATATTGATTTTTTTTCTATTGTATTAAGGGTAAAATGCTTATCAAATATGACTATATCTTTAATCTTAAATCTATAAAAAGAGAACAATTTTATGATTTCAGAATTAAAAAAGAGATATTTATAAATTTAATTTCATTTATAATATGCACTTCATTAATATCTTGTAAAAATTAATCTGAACCAAAAATAAATGATTAGCATATATAAATTTTAAAATCATTTTAATAAGTTCACAAAAACTGCCCTATACATTTAACAATTTTTAAGTTAGATGTTTAGAATTTTTTAAATTAACAATATAATAATTTTTACTTTGATTTGTTAACCATTTTCTAATTAATAATCTTTAAGAATAATAAGATAAAAATTTAAAAATAAATGGCGTAAATTAATTCAATTGTTTAAAATTTTTTAACACTCCAATAGGAATCGAGAATAAATTTAAAAATGGCATAAATGAATTAAGTTGTTTAAAATTTATTAACACTTCATTTAATTGGAAATTTGAAAATATAATATTTGTATTTACATATATTAATATATGATTTTAAATAATACACTGAACCCGGTTGAACCCGGGTTCAAATAAAATTCTTGGGTTCGGTTCGGGGTTTTGAAAATTTTATAAATGGGGTTCAGGTTCGGTTCGGGTTCAGAGTTTTTTTCTAAAAACCCGGGTTCACTTCTCCGGGTTTGGGTTCGGTTCGAATCCCTGGTAGTAGGTATAGCTTCTATAATTTAGGCGCATTGAAAAAACGACTGAATGATAAGTTGTATATGACATAAAGAAGGATAATACTAATAACGTTAAAATAATTTGATTTTGATTCATTATCACGCCTAGGATATAAAAAGTTATGCAATATTTTAATTTAATTAAAATTGAAATGGAAATAGAGGATTTACTTTAGAGGTCGGCAAAAAGCGGGCACGTTCAAACCCGTCCATACTATTGGGCAGACGGAAGGGTAGGTTAAAAATCAAGAACAAAAAAATTGGGCGAAATGAGTAAACAAGCTAATATCTATTAAAGGTTATTTTTTTATTTGATAATATTGCATATTTTATACGTTTAAAATACGTGTCGCATTGAAATAATGAATAAATTCATGGGAATTTGGAATCATTTAATTTTATAATCCTTTGCTGAGAGCAATTTATAAATTTGATTCGACGATAAATATATTCCAAAACGTGTAAAGTATCTACCCTATGAATTTCAGAGTATTTCGCCATCCTTTTTAGTATTTTTTTATTTATAAATATATTTCAGGTCAAATTTAAAATTGTAAACATAGCCTTGTGAAAATAATTCAAAATGGAGATTCCGAATCCCCATGGATTCCATATCCCAATTATGACATATATATTAAAATAATGGGAGAAAGTAAACAAAAATTTTTGGATAAATTAGTGGGCGACTTTTTTTAGAAGGTTCGGGTTAAAAGCCCATCTATTATAGTCCCCTAATCCCCTTCATTTTATAACATATTTAATGAAAAATTAATTCTTTAAAAAAAATCTAAACAATAAAATAGTAAATTATGCTGGAAAATCGTAAATTTTTTTTTGAAAATATATAAAGAAACCAGGATAACGTGTCCCTTTAACTACCTACACCTTATAATTTAAAAAAAAATCAATCAAAATCTAAAATAATTTCTTTTTAAATCATGGGATAACATTTTTTTAAACATCATTATAAATTTACAAAAAAACAGAGATGGAACTATATAATCAAATGATAATATCCCTCACCCAAATTGGAGAGGATTGATGAAGACTTTGAGGTATTGAGCAAACCCTTGGGCAATAAAGTATTTGCAAAATTGAATTCAGAATATTTGGTTAAATCAGTTTGGGCTTTTGAGATCAAATTTTCTAACTCCTCTAGGTATTTGGTTTGGGATTTGATACATTGCTCTTTCGCAGATATTTTGTCTCGCCAATTTTGTAAATTTTCTTTGGGGAGCTTAAAATGTATTTATTTAAAAATATATATCCTTTTTTTCATAATGCAATTTAAATAAGGTAATCCACATCATAAATGGGTAGAGAAATCATAGTTAATGTGCCTAAAATGTTTTAAATTTTAAAAAACAATTTTTACTTTCATGGTATAGTTGTAAAATAATGTCGATAAAATTGACTTCGTTACTAATGGCGCTATTTTTGGAGGAAAAGGATCGCCATTCGTTACTTGTTTTAAAAGTTAACTATAAACATGTTTCTTTTTTTGAGTAACAGTAACACAAAACATTACTTTAATTTTTTTCTTAAAAAATAAGGCAAAAAAAAAAATTTATTTTTTAATTTTATAAATAATTTAAAGAGTTTTTAATTCAGATCAATCGCCAAAGTTCTTCATTTTTATTTTATTTATTACATTTTTATTGTTGAATTACAGTCAATATTGCTAATCTATATTCACTAATATAATCATTTATATAAAGAATACATGTCAATAGTACTTATTTCTTTAGATAAAGATGTTAACTCTGCCCAACATTTTTTACACTAATAAAAAAAAGGGCAAGTGTAGGTAATGTTTTAATTCAAATATTTCACCCTCAATGTCCAGCTAGACAAATATAAAAAGAAATATGAAGGTAAAATATGAAATTAGATTAAATTCTGATAAAGATTTTTTAAAATTGATGAGGATCCGAATGAAGAGTCTTATGATGATGATCTAACAGGTTTTTTGAAAAAAAGATCATACTTTGAAGATTTTTAGTAAATTCCATTAAATAAATTTTTTATTATAATATAACCCTCCCATTCCATCCTCTGCGTAAGTTGAACGTGTTTCGCACAGCGAAAGTTGTATTGAGCACTAAATGCTCTTTTTTATCTGATAAAAATTTTTAAAAGCAATTGTAGTTAAAATAATTAAAATTTTCTTATCTTATATATTATTTTTGTATAATTAATTTTAATTTTATTGTCTATGGGGGTGGGGTGGGGGGGGGGGGGGGTTTATAATGTTTAAATTTTTTTTAAATAACGAGTAACGCACTACTTCTTTGAACAGAAAGTAATGCATTCACAAGGTAAAGGTAACGCTTTTTTCAAACGTAACGAGTAACGTGCTTCTTTTTTGAAGTAATGTTTACAGCACCAGTATATAGTAGTTAGTGTTGCTAAAAGTTATTTTTGAAAACCAATTACAGTTACATTAATTTAAAAAGTATCTAGTTATAATTAGGATATATTTCAAAAAATAGCTTACTACATTTAAATCATTATTTTTGACATAATTTTTTTTTATTTTTGCAAAAATAATTTTACAATAAGGAAAAAAATTTAAATGAAAATACAATTTATAATAAAGAAAATCTATTCTCTTCACTAAACTAAAACAAACGTTTTACATTTGAGTGCATTTACTAAACAGTTAAAAATTGATAAAACAACATATAAAAATAATGAGTGAGATATTATGTTACAGACAATGAGTTTGATCAGTATCAGTACGTGTATTACTTGATTAATATTTCTGCCAATTCGAGTAATTTTAGTAAAATAAATTTAAAATAACTTAAACCGTCTGAACAAATTTTTCTGAGATGTATAGGAATAGAAATTTACATGATCTGGAATGGAATAAATTTTGGTAAAATAAAAAAAAGACGTTCAACAAATTATTTTAACAAAACTAATAGTAATAATACAAAAACTTCTGAAATTATTTTCCAAAATATTTAGTTAGGTCCATTATTAAGATAAGTAATCTCATATTCGTCATTAATATTTTTAAGAAATAAAAACACTAGTCATCTCATTTGATTAAATAATTTTGTTATGATATACTTTGGATAATCAGGGTATAAAAATAAAAATCACAATTTAATATATATTTTTCGATTAAGTATCATTGGTTTGAATTTAGATGTTTAATAACGATCCTAAATTTGATCGTAATTTTGGCAAATTGCCTAGATCGTCGATCATTTATATTATTTTTTTTTAACTTAACGTAAGATAAATTATAGATAAAATAGAATAGAACATTAAAGATAATGGAAGGTTCGAGTTAAATAAAGGTGATTTAAGTCAGATAATAAAAAAAATATATTCGAATTTTTTTCAAAGGAAATATTCACTTGAGTAGAAAAACAAAAAATAAATTGCTAGGGTGAGTTTTAAAATAGTTAAAGCTACAATTTTTATAAAAAAATTACCACTTTTAAAACAGAGCCAATGGAATTTACAATTTAATAAAAACATAGTTCCATCAAAATTACTTGGGTATCTAACTCAAATGAAGATTTTGTAAGAATCCTGATTTCCATGTTATGATCTTGAATTTCTTGTTGGAGGTGAGATTTGTTTTGACTTTAAAAAAAATTTATATATATATATTTAAATATATAAATACTATAGGTTAACCCCCCCTCCCTCCAAAAAAAAATATGATTGAAAATTCTTTAGAACTTCAAAAAAAAACTTTAACAATCTAAAAAAATATTTCTTCTTAATAAATGACAAAATATTAGTGTCAAATAAGTAACTTAAAGTAACGATTTTTTTCAAGCAGTTAACGGCATTATTGTTCAAAAAAATAATGTCGTTCCCATCATTACTTAATATTTTATTATGTATTAAATTATAATATGAAGACACTGAAAATACTATATAATGATTTTTGATATTATTTTAATCAATTTTAAAATTTGCTTCGAGTTTTATAGGCATCTTGTTTGTCTAATTTTATAATGTTTATAATTTGAAACAAAACATATTTTGATTTTGTAATTAAATATTTTCACTCAATTTTTTTTATGATCATAAATTTGATTGTCAATCACGTCTAGTCATATCTGTTTATACGTTCAGTTTGGGCTATTAAATTACTATTGGATGAGATTGAATAATATTACAGTAACATTTAATTAATTTAACATTGTTATTATAATGAATGCTAAAATATAGGAAACGGTAATAATGATTTTTGATATAAAATAATTTGAATTAATAAATTGCGGTTATTAAATCAAACTCATACGTTTAGTCGAGGATTTAGATTTAAGCGTTTATCAAGGAGTGTGATTGTTTACTTGAAATAGTGATGCAAATCGCTCCATTTGAGTCGATTTTTAAAAACGGTCAATTCCGTATTTTATTCAAAAAAAATATAATGCAAGCCTGAAGATTTAGGTCATAGATGCCACAATGGTTTATAAATCTTTTAGCTAAATTTCAAGGCTTGGCAATATTTTCCTGGCTAAAAATTTGAGTTAGCTGTTTTTAAAAATAGGCTTGAATGGAGCGATTTTTCATCACCAAGTTGCACTAATAATAAATGTAACAATTTTTATTTTAAAAAAAGCGGGATAATTTTTCTTAAATGAAAGAAAAAAGTTGAGCAAAAATAGGTATGAAATAGTGAGAATCAGAGCCAAATCCTGACATCTGTTCTTAAAAGATATGGAACCAAATATTTACACTGTGAGTACAATCTGTCCTCATAACGAAGTAATAAATTTTAACATCAAGGAGTTATTGTTCACACTTGAAATATATAAATATTTTTTACTTAAATTTACGCTATATTTGATAAAAATATTATACCATATTGTAATTTGTGCCTGATGGGATCTGCAGACCCAAACCAAGTTGTAATATTTTATTGAAAAATAAAACCGGGCTGGGTGGAATTTTATTTTTTACAAAATTGAAGCCATCCCATTTTAATTTTTTTTTATATATAAATTAATCCCAATTCAATTATCTTTAAACTAAGATCGGCCAAGAATTGCTTTGAGGCCATCCCTAGCTCATCTAATCTCTGGCTGATTCTATATGCAGAAAAAATTATAATCTCAATTGGTTGACGCTTTGGCTTCTACCATCGACTGTGGCCAAATTATAGACAACAAAGGCCACTACCCCCTCCATTTATAATATTCTCGCCGTCGTAAACCCCGTCATAAAGCAAGTTAAAACATGATTCCAAAGGTTTTCAATATAGGGCCAATATATCTTCTACCCTGGAATCACTAGGTCTTTTCAATAATTTCCAAAATACCAGACAAACTGCCAAATATCCTAGTTAAATTGCCTCCTTTCATCTGGGACTATGCCTGTATCGATTTCTCGGCCATGTCAAATAATCATCACTAGGCCTTAATTTATGCCAAATAAATAAATATTCAGACCTACTATATTATTTTTATCCCCATCGCCTTCAGCAACAATCCTCTTCATTTTATTAAATAAAAAATAACTCTCAATATTGGAGATATCAATGATAGAAATTAACTGCCAAAGGATCTTACTGGGAATTTGTTGCTCCATGTATCCACTCCTACCTTAGTTCAAAATATCATGTACAACGGAACAGTTAATGTTTATTTTTTGCTCATATTTCCAAAATTCTTTCAAAACAATTTATAAAATTCAGCCAAAATTATTCAAAATTCGGGTATGATTAAAATACGCGCCCCCTATGAAAGAAGCTAAATTATATTATTTTAGAATCGTATTTAGCTTCATAAGATAAGGTAGAAAATGTTTTTTTTTCATTTAAAAAAAAAGACAACATTAAAATTTAAAAAAAATTTTTTTTTTACATAACTAAAATACGCGCCCCCTATCAAAGAAGCTTAATTTATAAAAAATGAACGCAGAATCATATAGAGCTTATTAAAAGGTATAAAAAATGTTAATATTATATTTTAAAACTTATTATAACCTAGTGGGCTTTTGAAAAAACAAAATTTTTTTGACTTAACTACACGCCCCCTATCAAAGAAACTAAATTCATAAAAAATTAAAGCATAATCGTATTAAGCTCATTAAAAGGAATCAAAAAATGTTAATATTAAGTTTATAAATGATTTATAACTTATTGAGATTTGGAAAAAACACTTAATTTCTTCTTTTTTTGACTAAACTACGCGCCCCGTTAAATATACATTATTTTTAAAAAATGAATACAGATCCATGTATAACTTTTCAAGTTCAGAAAATGATATTATTTATTTTGTTTAAATAAATATTTTTATCAGGGATTCGAACCGAACCCGAACCCGGAGAAGTGAACCCGGGTTTTTAGAAAAAAACTCTGAACCCGAACCGAACCTGAACCCCATTTATAAAATTTCCAAAACCCCGAACCGAACCCAAGAATTTTATTTGAACCCGGGTTCAATCGGGTTCAGTGTATTATTTAAAATCATATATTAATATATGTAAATACAAATATTATATTTTCAAATTTCCAATTAAATGAAGTCTTAATAAATTTTAAACAATTTAATTCATTTATGCCATTTTTAAATTTATTCTCGATTCCTATTGGAGTGTTAAAAAATTTTAAACAATTGAATTAATTTACGCCATTTATTTTTAAATTTTTATCTTATTATTCTTAAAGATTATTAATTAGAAGAAAATGGTTAACAAATCAAAGTAAAAATTATTATATTGTTAATTTAAAAAATTCTAAACATCTAACTTAAAAATTGTTAAATGTAGGGCAGTTTTTGTGAACTTATTAAAATGATTTTAAAATTTATATATGCTAATCATTTATTTTTGGTTTAGTTTAATTTTTACAAGATATTAATGAAGTGCATATTATAAATGAAATTAAATTTATAAATATCTCTTTTTTAATTCTGAAATCATTGCTATTTAAAAAAATTGTTCTCTTTTTATAGATTTAAGATTAAAGATAAAGTCATATTTGATAAACATTTTACCCTTAATAAAATAGAAAAAAAATCAATATGTTTTTATTGCAAAGTAAAAATGTCTAGTAATCACTTGTCAAATTTAGAAAGACACCTGGAAAGAAATCACAACAATGAATATTTAAATTATTTAAATGAAAAAACCAAATATCAGGAATTGTTATTGGCAAAAAAACCTAAAATTAATATAGAAACCTTTTTTCCAAAAAAGCATATAAGTATAAATATATCATCTAATGATTTGATGAGTTCTATACTAGAACTTGTTACTGTAAATGGCCGGCCTTTATCAATTATTGAAGATTCGGGATTTCAAAGAATTATAAATCCACTCCTATCTGGGCTCAATTTAGTTATAAACAAAGAAAATTTATCCAGAACTATTAATAAAACAGCCCAATCAATTAGAGACAAAATATCGAGAGAGGTAGAAGGAAAATTAATAAGTTTAAAAGTTGATGCAGTTCAACGACTAGATAGGTCAATTCTTGGTGTAAATATTCAATTTATATCAAAGTCCATTATAAATTTGAGGACTCTTGGAATTGTAGAGCTGAAAGAGAGATGTACAGGAGAATATATAAAAGAGAATATATTAAAAACTTTACTAAAATTTAAAATTAATATTCAACAAATATACACAATTACTTCTGATAATGGTTGTAATTTTTTAAGAGCTATAAAGCTCCTGCAACCTGAAACTGATTATGATATAAGGAGTGAATCAGCAGATGAGGAAAATATGGATGTAAATGTATATAAATATGATATTGATGATATACAAAATACTTTTTTATCAACTATTATATCCTATCCGATTTATAGTGTACGGTGTGCACACACTTCAGCTGGCACTTCAAGATGCTATAAAATTATCACCTATTGTGGAAACCATTGCAAAAGCTAGGAGCCTAAATTTAAAATTAAGACATCCCACTTACCAAAAGTTATTAAAAAATATGAAACTCCCTAAGCCTGTGTTAGATTGCCACAGATGGCATTCAACCCATGATATGTTAGAAAGGCTGATTTTACTAAAACCCAATATGGAAGATTTTTTTACAGAGCAATCTGATTATTTATTGACTGAAGATTGGAAAGAGATAATAACGATTGTTGAAATTTTAAAACCGCTAAAAATCGCAACCAAACAATTCCAATCTGAACAGTTAACACTGACAGATTTTTATGCAGCATGGTTAAGATGCTGCATCGAACTGGAAAAAAATCCAAACCATTTTGCTCAATTACTATATTCTTGTCTTAAGAACAGAGAAGAAAGGTTTATAAAGAACGAAATTCTCTTAGCTGCCATATACCTGGGCCCAAGATACAAGGTTAATTAAAAGCTTAGTAAATTAATTATTTTAGATTTATATTAAAATTGTTATTTTATGAAATATTTAAATATAAACAATATAAATCCTTAAATATTACAGGTATTACTTAGTGATGATGATAAGATTTGTGCGAAAAAACATCTTGTCAATTTATGGAGACGAATTAAAAGCTTAACAACGCCAATTTTATCTGATGATATTAGTTCCGATGAAGTTATTGAACAAGAAGATGATTTAGAGAAATTGATACAACTTAAAGAAAGGAAGGAGAAAATACTTAAAAGAGGGCCAACGATTG